GACTAGAGTGAATTGGAAAAGGACTAAAACTAAATCATCATAAATCATCTCATAACTACCACAATTGCACCATTTCAAGGAAGCCCTTTTTGAAGGGACATCAGTGATGTCCGATCAGCCTGGCGCAACGCGCACCAGGAGCGGCTGAAACGAGAAGTGAACGGGACGAGCATGGCAGAGCAGATGCAAGCTTGGGAGGACCAGACCCTACTTGGACGGTCGCCAAACTTTTTTTTTGACCCATCGCCATGTCACATCAGATCACCATTCACCACATCAAAGACAAAGACCATGGTGCAGAAATGAACTCAGCATCATGTGCCTGCCGTGCCTGCCCGTTGATTTGCCAGGAATTTCACAAACACCTGCGTCAGTTCTATATGGCCCACACTGCTTTGCCTCCAGGTGACCGAGCTTGGGCTTGATATGGCTTGATCAGCATGGCATGGGCTTCCAGCGTTCCAGGTGCAGGGATGGCCGATGGCATGGATGGCGCAGTCGCTGCCTTTCCAACTAAGGATTGAGAGACTCCGAAATGGACATGGCGCGTTTGGCTGAGATGCTGAGATGCTCCCATGATGAGGGCGGAAGGATGGGAGATATCGGAGATATTCCCGAAATCCTCAGAGATTCGGCAGGGGAGGTCTAAGGATTTCATCATGTTTGCCTTTGAGGCCTTTGTGCATTCTCTGCAATTCTGTGATTTTCTGTGTGGCACTTGGCATTGGGTCAGATTCTTGTACCATTTTGTAACCTTCGGAACTTCAGGAGGTGTTTTACCCTGCCGAAGCCCATTGTTTTCCCCTCGGGTCGCTGATTTCATTCTGATTTTGCAGTACTTTAGTGGATCCGATCCACCGGGGGCAATAGGTCCGGCTTTTTCGCCGGGTCTATGGAGGGGTTTTGCCAGGTGTGGCAGCTGGTGGCAGCTCAACGATGATTGCTATAATGATACAATGTAGTAAAGCAACAGGATTCACTATCTGGAAATTTACCATAAATGATATAAAAGGGTGGTAGAAGCCATGGATTTATAATGATTTATATTAATTTATATGGGTGGTGTTCATTATTGCTTTACTCACATGAATCTGGACATGTCACTAGCTTGGTAGAGATCCGTGAAATGACCGTTTACGGACAGGCCATCAGAGGGCCCTTAGAATCCTTAGAAGCCTTAGAATGCCACCGTTGCGTGCCCTCCAATCTGGCCTGCGTGGTTTGACTGGGTTTTAGGATGTGTTAGCATGTTTTATATACTGTAATTATATAGGCAAAATTCACAGCAAACGATGGGTCTCGAAGTAAATATGAAGGGGTTCGTAACGATTCAACTAATTAGTCTTAATTCATATGGCTGAAGTCTGAAGTCCAAGAATTAATTGCATGCAGGATATATATAATATAGATAGATTCATTCAATTCCAGTACTTCAGCAATGAAGCTAGGAGATTCGTCAGCACTTCCGGCAGCACTGCCGCACCTCGCTTCGCTGGTAAAGCATTGTCCAGCCCTGCTGGACAATGCTGGGCTTACAGAAGGGGTCATGCTGAGAAAAAAGTCCTTGGCCATTTGTTAAAAAATCATCCCCACCCCCTTGGGCACCTTTTTTTGGGGGGGGGTCAAAAAATGTAAGTTACAAACAAATGGGGGGGACCCCCCCGTCAAAAAATGTAAGTTACATTTTCGCGACCCCCTAACTTACATTTTTTTGACCCCCCCCTCCCCCCATGAAAAAATAAAAAATTAGGATTAGGGGGTCAAAAAATGTAACTTCCAATTTGTGACCCCCCCCCTCATTTTTTAAAAATTCACGTTTTTTTCTATTTTCCAGGGGGGGGGGACGTGCAGATCGAATCATCTCAAAATACCCCGAGCAATTTTTAATGATAAAATATGAAGTAATATGAAATAATATGAAAACCACTACTATTCTTGCTGCTATTATATACTCTATTACTACTATTAATTCGTATTAATATTGCTGCCACTAGTACTACTAGTACTACTAGTACTACTAGTACTACTAGTACTACTAGCACTACTATTTGGTACTATCTTGTGCTACCTTATTCTGTTTCTATTTATTTTTATACTATCTTCTGCTGTTCCCGGTTTGTTTGGATCATGCACCATCTGCAAGATTGCCTGCAATATTGTTGCTGATGCTGTTTGCATCTGCTTGCTAGATTTCATAAGCGCTTACCTTAAGGTCACGGTCTTCATGTGTTTTTGCAGAAATTTGGAAAACTCCCCTGCAGCTACTTACATTTTTCATACCAGGCAATCCCAGGCAAAGTGCGCAATGTAACATAATGTAATATCGGATCTGACATTTTCTTGCATGATCTTGCATCAACTTACATCTTTCACGCTTAAATAGGGAGCATCAAGAAACCACTGGAAACCATAAGAAACTTCAAGAAACTATATATTATATTACTATCAAAGGAACTTGTCAATATTTGTGAATGTCGGTGGTGAACCCATACCAATCTTAGTCATCTACAGTGATCTAGGTGCCCCATGTCGTTCTCAGCAGATGCTCCTTCAGGTGCAGTGCCAGCCTAGGCAGGCAGAAAAATGTTTTTGCAAACTTTCTGCCAGCGGCACCTTCTGATACATAACTTTCTGCTAGCGGAGCCTTCTGCTACATATATTTCTGCTAGGGGAGCCTTCTGCTAGATAACTTTCTGCTAGCGGAGGCTTCTGCTACATAATTTTCTGCTAGGGGAGCCTTCTGCTACATAACTTTCTGCTAGGGGAGCCTTCTGCTACATAACTTTGTGCTAAGGGGAGGCCTTCTGCCACATTTTCTTCTACTTCAGGTGCAGTGCCAGCCTAGGCAGGCAGAAACATGGTTTGCAAGATATGTCACATTATGATACAATAGCATACAATATGTCACCTTGTGACATAATGTGGGAATCAGATGGCGTAAGATAGAATAAGAACAAGAAGTAGTAATTAAAATGTAAGTTTGACTGTGTGGACATGGAGATCTCCTGCAAAACACCATCATTTTCAACACATAAAGCAGCCTAGCTTACATTTTCAAAAAACGCCGCCATTCACCAGGCAATTCCAGGCAAACTGCACAATGATACGCACATATGCAATCACATGCACAAAAAATGAACATAGAATATCATCCTAGCCATCCAGAATCTACAGTGATCTAGGTGCCCCACATCGTTCACAGCAGATGCTCCCTCAGGTGCACTGCCAGCCTAGGCAAGCAGCAAAATGCTTTGCAAGATAGGCCACATTATGATACAATAATATACAACATGTCACCTTATGATGCCTTATGACATAATGTGGGAATAAGATCGAATAAGAAGTAGTAATTAAAATGTAAGTTTGACTTTGTGGACATGGGCATCCTCTGGAAAACACCATCATTTTCAACACCTAAAGTAATCTAGCTTACATTTTTCAAGAAACTCTACCACTCACCAGGCAATTCCAGGCAAAGTGCGCAATGATGCGCACATATGCACAAAAAATGACATAACATATCATGAAATGACCAAAGGTGATCTCATCTATGCGACGCAAACATGTAAGCTGAAAGCAATAGGGGGGCCAGAATCCCTGCAGCCCACAACACTATCTCAAACACCTTCCCCCAAACAGCTTACTATATAGGCATTATATGGTAATATAATGTAACATCGGATCTTGCTTTTTCTTGCATGATCTTGCATCAACTTACATCTTTCACGCTTAAATACGGAGCATCAAGAAATCACTGGAAGCCATAAGAAATTGCAAGAAACTATATATTATATAACTATCAAAGGAACTTGTCAATATTTGTGAATGTCGGTGAACCAATACCAATCTTAGTCATCTACAGTGATCTAGGTGCCCCATGTCGTTCTCAGCAGATGCTCCTTCAGGTGCAGTGCCAGCCTAGGCAGGCAGAAAAATGTTTTTGCAAACTTTCTGCCAGCGGCACCTTCTGCTACATAACTTTCTGCTAGCGGAGCCTTCTGCTACATATATTTCTGCTAGGGGAGCCTTGTGCTAGATAACTTTCTGCTAGCGGAGGCTTCTGCTACATAATTTTCTGCTAGGGGAGCCTTCTGCTACATAACTTTCTGCTAGGGGAGCCTTCTGCTACATAACTTTGTGCTAAGGGGAAGCCTTCTGCCACATTTTCTTCTACTTCAGGTGCAGTGCCAGCCTAGGCAGGCAGAAACATGGTTTGCAAGATATGTCACATTATGATACAATAGCATACAATATGTCACCTTGTGACATAATGTGGGAATCAGATGGCGTAAGATAGAATAAGAACAAGAAGTAGTAATTAAAATGTAAGTTTGACTGTGTGGACATGGAGATCTCCTGCAAAACACCATCATTTTCAACACCTAAAGCAGCCTAGCCTACATTTTCAAAAAACGCCGCCATTCACCAGGCAATTCCGGGCAAACTGCACAATGATAAGCACATATGCAATCACATGCACAAAAAATGAACATAGAATATCATCCTAGCCATCCAGAATCTACAGTGATCTAGGTGCCCCACATCGTTCACAGCAATTGCTCCCTCAGGTGCAGTGCCAGCCTAGGCAAGCAGTAAAATGCTTTGCAAGATATGCTACATTATGATCCAATAATATACAACATGGCACCTTATGGCATAATGTGGGAATAAGATTGAACAAGAAGTAGTAATTAAAATGTAAGTTTGACTTTGTGGACATGGGCATCCTCTGGAAACCACCATCATTTTCAACACCTAAAGTAATCTAGCTTACATTTTTCAAGAAACACTATCACTCACCAGGCAATTCCAGGCAAAGTGCACGATGATGCGCACATATGCACAAAAAATGACATAACATATCATGAAATGACCAAAGGTGATCTCATCTATACGACGCAAACATGTAAGCTGAAAGCAATAGGGGGGCCAGAATCCCTGCAGCCCACAACACTATCTCAAACACCCTCCCCCAAACAGCTTACTATATAGGCATTATATGGTAATATAATGTAACATCGCATCTTACATTTTCTTGCATAATCCTGCATCAACTTACATCTTTCACGCATAGATAGGAAGCATCAAGAAACCACTGGAAACCATAAGAAACTTCAAGAAACTGTATAACCACCAAATGAACTTGTCAATATTTTTTTGAATGTCGGTGAACCCATGCCAATCCTAGTTATCTACACTGATCTGGTGTCCCACGTCGTTTTCAGCAAATTCTCCCTCTCGTGCACTTCCACCCTACGCAACCACTAAAATGCTTTGCAAGATATGCCACATTATGATACAATAATAAACAATATGTCACCTTATGGCATAATGTGAGAATAAGATTGAACAAGAAGTAGAAATTAAAATGTAAGTTTGACTGTGTGGACATGGGCATCCTCTGGAAAACACCATCATTTTCAACACCTAAAGTCATCTAGCTCACATTTTTCAAACCACCGCCATTCACACCTTTCAATCCCAGGCAAACTGCACAAATGTAAGCTGAAAGCAATGGGGGGGGGGCAGAATCCATGCAGCCCACCACTATCTCAAACACCCTCCCCCAAACTGCTCACCATATATATATAATATATATATATAATATATATAATATATATATATATAATATATATATATAATATATATATAATATATAGGATCTTGCTTTTTTTTGCATGATCTTGCATCAACTTACATCTTTCACGCTTAAATACGGAGCATCAAGAAATCACTGGAAGCCATAAGAAACTGCAAGAAACTATATATTATATAACTATCAAAGGAACTTGTCAATATTTGTGAATGTCGGTGAACCCATGCCACTCTTAGTCACCACAGTGATCTGGGTGTCCCATGTCGTTTTCAGCAAATGCTCCCTCAGGTGCAGTGCCAGCCTAGGCAGGCAGAAAAATGCTTTCCAAGATATGTCCCATTATGATTCAATATGTCACCCTATGGCATAATGTCGGAATAAGATCGAATAAAAAGTAATAAGAAAATGTAAGCTTGACTGTTTGGACATGGGGATCTTCTGCAAAACACCATCATTTCCAACACCTAAACTGTCTAGCTTACATTTTTCAAAAACCTCCGCCATTATGATTCAATATGCCACCTTATGGCATAATGTGGGAATAAGATTGAACAAGAAGTAGAAATTAAAATGTAAGTTTGACTGTGTGGACATGGGCATCCTCTGGAAAACACCATCATTTTCAACACCTAAAGTCATCTAGCTCACATTTTTCAAACCACCGCCATTCACACCTCTCAATCCCAGGCAAACTGCACAAATGTAAGCTGAAAGCAATGGGGGGGGGGCAGAATCCATGCAGCCCACCACTATCTCAAACACCCTCCCCCAAACTGCTCACCATATATATATATATATAGTATAGGATCTTGCTTTTTCTTGCATGATCTTGCATCAACTTACATCTTTCGCGCTTAAATAGGGAGCATCAAGAAACCACTGGAAACCATAAGAGACTTCAAGAAACTATATAAATATCAAAGGACCTTGTCAATATTTGTGAATGTCGGTGAACCCATGCCAATCTTAGTCATCTACAGTGATCTGGGTGTCCCACGTCGTTTTCAGCAATTGCTCCCTCAGGTGCAGTGCCAGCCTAGGCAAGCAGTAAAATGCTTTGCAAGATATGCTACATTATGATCCAATAATATACAATATGGCACCTTATGGCATAATGTGGGAATAAGATTGAACACGAAGTAGAAATTAAAATGTAAGTTTGACTGTGTGGACATGGGCATCCTCTGGAAAACACCATCATTTTCAACACCTAAAGTCATCTAGCTCACATTTTTCAAACCACCGCCATTCACACCTTTCAATCCCAGGCAAACTGCGCAAATGTAAGCTGAAAGCAATGGGGGGGGCAGAATCCATGCAGCCCACCACTATCTCAAACACCCTCCCCCAAACTGCTCACCATATATATATAATATATATATATATATAATATATATATATATATAATATAGGATCTCGCTTTTTCTTGCATGATCTTGCATCAACTTACATCTTTCGCGCTTAAATAGGGAGCATCAAGAAACCACTGGAAACCATAAGAGACTTCAAGAAACTATATAAATATCAAAGGACCTTGTCAATATTTGTGAATGTCGGTGAACCCATGCCAATCTTAGTCACCTACAGTGATCTGGGTGTCCCACGTCGTTTTCAGCAAATGTTCCCTCAGGTGCAGTGCCAGCCTAGGCAGGCAGAAAAATGCTTTGCAAGATATGTCGCATTATGATTCAATATGTCACCCTATGTCTGTGGGAATAAGATGGGATAAGAAGTAATAAGAAAATGTAAGCTTGACTGTTTGGACATGGGGATCTTCTGCAAAACACCATCATTTCCAACACCTAAAGTAGTCTGGCTTACATTTTTCAAAAACCTCCGCCATTCACACCAGGCAATCCCAGGCAAACTGCACAAATGTAAAATCCATGCAGCCCACCACTATCTCAAACACCCTCCCCCAAACTGCTCACCTTATATATATATATGAAATAGGGTCTTGCTTTTTCTTGCATGATCTTGCATCAACTTACATCTTTCGCGCTTAAATAGGGAGCATCAAGAAACCACTGGAAACCATAAGAAACTTAAAGAAACTATATGTTATATTACTATCAAAGGAACTTGTCAATATTTGTGAATGTCGGTGAACCCATACCAATCTTAGTCATCTACAGTGATCTAGGTGCCCCATGTCGTTCTCAGCAGATGCTCCTTCAGGTGCAGTGCCAGCCTAGGCAGGCAGAAAAATGCTTTGCAAGATATGTCGCATTCTGATTCAATATGTCACCCTATGACATAATGTGGGAATAAGATGGGATAAGAAGTAATAAGAAAATGTAAGCTTGACTGTTTGGACATGGGGGTCTTCTGCAAAACACCATCATTTCCAACACCTAAAGACTACTTTAGCTTACATTTTTCAAAAACCTCCGCCATTCACACCAGGCAATCCCAGGCAAACTGCACAAATGTAAAATCCATGCAGCCCACCACTATCTCAAACACCCTCCCCCAAACTGCTCACCATATATATATATATATTATATATATATATATAAAATATAGGATCTTGCTTTTTCTTGCATGATCTTGCATCAACTTACATCTTTCGCGCTTAAATAGGGAGCATCAAGAAACCACTGGAAACCATAAGAGACTTCAAGAAACTATATAAATATCAAAGGACCTTGTCAATATTTGTGAATGTCGGTGAACCCATGCCAATCTTAGTCATCTACAGTGATCTGGGTGTCCCACGTCATTTTCAGCAAATGCTCCCTCAGGTGCAGTGCCAGCCTAGGCAAGCAGAAAAATGCTTTGCAAGATATGTCGCATTATGATTCAATATGTCGCCTTATGACATAATATGGGAATAAGATGGAATAAGAAGTAATAAGAAAATGTAAGCTTGACTGTTTGGACATGGGGATTTTCTGCAAAACACCATCATTTTCAACACCTAAAGCAGTCTAGCTTACATTTTGCAAAAACACCACCATTTACCAGGCAATTCATGCCAATTCCAGGCAAAGTGCACGAAAAATACTGTATCAAAAAATGACAATATATTACATAGGGTATTATCCCAGTCATCTATAGTCATTGAGGTGCCCAACGTGGTTCTCAGCCGATGCATGCCTAGGTGCAGCGTCAGCCTAGGCAAGCAGAAAGATGCTTTGCAAAAGATGCCGTGTTGTGACATCACTTACGTAGAAATAAGCAAAATGAAACTTGTACACACCTGGACATGGAAATCTGTTGCAAACCACCATTTTTTTAATCACCTCAAGCAGTCTAGCTTACATTTGCAGAAACACCACCATGCACCACTGAAAATGATTGAAAGCTGGGTCCCAAACTTCGGCGTCCAATGCCCCCCAACAGGCGTCCTCAGAATCCGGCAGCATCCGGTATCATCAGGTAACTTGATGCGAAAGTATGCAAAAGTATACATGCCAAAATATGCCAAAATGCAGCCTACATGAAAGGACATGTTTTAAACATTACTAAACCAGATCATGTGTCAGATTGCGGCAAGCATGCGACGAGCGCTTTGATTTTTGCACTCTCTAGCTATCTCTAGCCTTCTCTAACCCATCTCGACTCCTCACATCTAAAGTAACTTTGCCACAGCGCAGTTCTATTCTGTACACACCCTTGCTGACAGATCGAATCGAATTGATTGATACCACAAACTGGCAAATGACACTGTAGGCACTTGTTGGCCCTACAGGGATTTCACAGAAACATCTAATTGAAACCTGCCTTGATTTTTTTCATACCTTTTCATATCCTTTCATGTCAACTCTGCGTTGCGCTGCCAAACTCAAATCATCTGAATCCCAGACATTCTCAGACCAAATGAATCGCCAGTAGCAGCCGGCATCATCCAGCATCCTGTGTGAGCTGAGTTTGTCACTGGAACCTATGATGGATCCAGCACAATCCATCATAAACCACGCAATGCGTTGGCTTTTACCGACTTGCCCGCACTACCCCAGCCACAATGGTAGCCATTGGTGACGAACTGGAGTTCTATGGCATTCTTGCATCTGGTCAAAGCATATCTAATACTACGAGCACTGCTAATACTATTACGCTACTGCTACTGCTACTGCTACTGCTACTGCTACTACTACTACTACTTCTACTTCTACTTCTACTTCTACTTCTTCTACTACTACTTCTACTTCTACTACTGCTACTACTGCTACTACTGCTACTTCTACTACTACTACTACTGCTACTACTACTACTACTACTGCTAATAATAATAATATAGAAAAAATAATATACATATATATCTATAACTATATATTCAATAAACAATTACAGGGTCAAAAAATGTAACTTACATTTTTTGAGCAAATGTAACTTACATTTTTTGACCACCCCCCTAGTTTTGGACGTTTCCTCTCAAGAAATGTAAGTTACATTTTTTGAGAAAATTACAAAAATGTAACATTATCTTCTTGACCCCCTCAACCCTATTTTTTTGTAACTTACATTTTTTGACCCCCCTAGCTTAATAGGTGGGGATGTTGTTTGTACCGAGAGACTTCTTCAGAGACTGGTAGTTTGGACGACTTTTATAGGGCGGAAAATATGTTTTTGAGGGTAAAGAATCAAAGGTCCGATGTTTTCTTTTTCCGGACAAACTCATCGTTTCTTTTTTAGCACCAGCAGTCGCTGTTCGCGGTACGCCGGTACGTTCGCGTTCCTTTGGCCGTATTTGGAGCAAACAGAAGGTGCATAATTCCAGCACCTTCCATTCACCTTTCGAGACGCTTCGTAGCGATGTCGTGCGCCGCTGTTCACGGCTTCGAAGCGCCCAGTGGTTGGGAGCCCAGGATGTGGATCCCTGATGGGACATGGGGCATATACGAGGTATACATGGTATACACATTGACAACCATTGACATAGAAGGACATAGTATGCGGTATGCGTATATATAGTTGTATATATGATATGTATATAATATATATATATATATATATATATTATAATTATTGAGTGTAATTATATGTAAACTTAGATACGTGTAATTATATGTAAACTTAGATACATGTATATGACTTAATAGGTAACAGTTATTTCTGAGACCCTTTCAAAAAGTGGGAGATGTCGAGAATCCCAGTCCCAGCGGTCCTTCCTGGTTCCTACTTGTGTGACCCTCCTGGATTTGCATCATGACATCACGATTTATAGATGACACGATTGACATCGATTAACTAGTTCGATCTGTTTACGACAAACCATCGAATTCACCTAACAGTTCACTTTTTGCCAACTTTGCTATCATCACATAATAAGATATAAATAGATATAATAAGTGTCTATCAGACAAATCCCCATTTATCTGGCAGTAAAGTTGCTATTTCTCCCCTATTTTTCGTGCTTAAATCATGGTTAAGAACGGTTAATAACCACAAAAAAATGATGTTCAAAAACCAGCCTGATGCTTAAACCCCCATGTTGGATGGTGAAAACCCACCATTTTTGATGGACAAATTGATGGTTGGCCGAGGCGAGCGCGACCTTACGGCTTCCTCTAGTGGGGCCAACTGCAGGGATCCGCCCGAGGAGGAAAATGCTGGGAATTTCGATAATCAAAAACCCTCCATGAAGGGATTTAGTATTCGGGTTCATGTGGGGATAGAGGAATTTTGGGGAAGGATAGAGGAATTCTCAGGAAATAGATGGGGAAATCAAAGAGAGAATGAGAGAGAAGGAATGTACGACATGAATGGACAAGTAACAACTAACCATTATTTAACTAACAAATTCTGTGGTTTGCCACCATGCAAACCTTTATAGTAATCTATAATAATCTATAGATATAGCCAATACATGATCCGCATGGGGATAGTCCTCGAAGTGTCACAAGGGGTGTTTTTGTCAAGCTGGTAACGTAGCTATTTCTGTCGATGAAAAACTATGACATAGCACATTTCGATATATTTTGGGCGGTCATCCATAAATGTTGACCCATCCCCACATCCATTTCACACATCGCCAAATTTTGGTACCATACTATTGACCGTGCCAGCCAGCACTTTCTTCGGTTGCTCCAGGAGGAAGACCGATTGTCCACTGCGGCCCCTTCCATTTGCGAGGCCGTGTGACGCTGTGATGTTTCGATCCGGGGACAGGGATGGTCCGAAAGCGAAAAGAAAAGGGTGATTTGGTACATGGGGAGATCATGGGGAAAAGTGTTTTGTGTGCATATTGTTTCTTAAAACATTTTGAAACTTAAGGATACTTAAGGAATATACAGAGGAATGATGGATGCTCAACTTCCATGGCCAGAGTTGTGGGATTGAAACCACCAGAGAGAGTCTTTGAGGCAGCCTTCAACCGGCTAAATCGTTGGATCCCCATGTAACCTTCTGTTTAGAGCGTTTTTTAGTCAGGTATCACCATATGGGGGTATGAAAAGATAGCTGGATGGTATTTATAATTGATATGTCATTGAACATCCTTTTCTGGTTGGTGGTTTGGTTTTTTTTTACTTTTCCAATCTTTTCCATATTGGGAATAATCATCCCAACTGACTGACTTTCATATTTTTCAGAAGGGTAGGTCAACCACCAACCAGTTTTATTTTCATGGATGATTTGGGGGTACCCACCCATTTTATGGAACCTTTACTAAATAGGTATCACCGTTCGGAACTACCGACAGGAGGCCACCACCAGTGACTTGGTGACAGACTTGGCCGGCGACATGGAGGTGATATGATTGTGGTTAATTGTGGTTCTTGTTATCAGGGAAACCATGGGAAAGCTAACCTGAATCATGCAATCAGGGCCATTTTTTTGAGCCAGTTCCGGGATTTACCCGAAGATTTTGAGATTGTGTGAACAGCGGCCACACATGCATGGCGTGGTTGTTGATGAAATCCCAAATTTGTCCCAGTTTTGATGGTCAAATCCACATTTTCCTATGGAAAGTGGGGTTCTTGCAAAGCAGAAATGGCAATGGTAGTGCAACCTATCAGAAAAAATGAAGCTAATTTCAGCTCCTGAGACTCTGGAAGGGTTGTTCCTAGACTTTACGTCTCTCAAAATTTGACACCATTATAGATACAGTATAATGTAAAGACTGAGATCATATGATATAATTCCCTATGATCTTAAGTTCATATTATTCACTATATAATAGCCATAGTATGTACATACCAGCTATATTTATATGATTTTATACGTATCTTTGCGTTTTGGGTCACCACCAGCTGTTTAGGGTGGGCAGACACTTTGGACGGCCACAAGCGTTGGGCGGACCTCCTGGACTCGGACGACGAGGCGGCAGGGCTTCGATGCCAACCAGGGGGGTTCGATGGCAGAAGCCAAGGAATTTATGGAATTAATAATGATTAATATGATATTTATGGGAAGTTCAGGGATGACAAGGCATAGCGAAATTTCGATGATCGGGAGACAATCTGGATCTGTAATAGGAATAGGAAAGCATAGGACTATATAACGTGAATTTGTGATTAATAGGAATGTATACTGTAGCGACTGCAGTGGGAATGTAGGGCGCAGTCAAATTCTCCCTCCCCCATGAAACAAAAAAGATAGATTGGTAATATTATAAAAGGTGGAAGGGAATTGAATATGTCATCAACGATCACAGGAATATGATTGGGAGCTTGTCCCAAAATGGTGGATTTGACGATGTCTCCAATTGATGGCCAATCATAGTGAGGAAAATGATCATCCCAATCCACCAATGGGGATGGATTGAACCCTCGTCACAGATAGTTGGACGTACTGGGTATAACCTGGTCTTGGACATCGCCGTAGATCGATGCGTTAAGCATGAAGAGTGGCGAGTATATAAGATTATATAAGTATATTATTGACGTGTATGAAGTGTTACTGACGATTTAGTAAATATGCTGATTGTCCTGAAGTAGATAAAATATCGTATATAATTTCAATCATATTTTCACATGGGAAGCTTTCCATATTCTATCTTCTCCAGGATGACTATGTGTAATTAGATATATACAAGGCCAACCATTGGTGATCGCTTTGGATAGATTTCTCCTTCAGGAATCAGCCTTAACCAGCATTAAGTATATGTTTCATCACTAGATGGCGATATGAAACAAGAACACCGAAACAAGGCGGCGAATTTCTCCCGGTACGTTTCACCAAAATGGGAAGATCAACAGTTTAAATCATAGGGACATGGGTGAACCACATGGCAACATCCCCCCCAAAGCCAACAAACGGATCCTGAGATGAGACATTAGATGACGTCAGCCACTGCCCAATGCCAAAGTAATTGGTGGCATGGGTTGGCATGGAGGCTGTCCGAAATTCAAGGACCACAAGGCAGCCCAGCAGACCATACCATTCGTTGGTTATAGACTTGTCCCCATTTCCTTGGGCAAAACAACCTGGAGTACCCTATTGTACCCCCCACCATGTCTGACATCACTGACGCCTGAGGACCTCAAATGTGTCCCGGCCGTCCAGAGCAAGGTGCGATGTGAGACCTTGCAGTCCCATGGTGGTCTCATCATAGACATTAAATATCCCATGTGGACATACATCAAAATTGGATCTCCCAAAAAGCGGACGGGTTAAATTAGATTTACGAACAGTCAAACAGGTAATTCCTTCATGCTCTCAGGGTTTCGAATTTTCACTCAACTCAACCCCATATTTCTGAATTTCTTGGGGCTGACTCGCTGACACTAGCTTTTCTTTTTCTTAGAATCAAAACGATGATCAGCAACTACGCTGGAGATCCAAGAACTCGCTGACACATGCAAATATCAATGGCCATTTCAGGGACCTAACTTGAAGGTACCTAGAATATGTAAGGCCGACGTAATTTATGTAAGGGCTATGTAAGGGAAGTGGTCTATTGGTTTTCACTGATACAGCAAGCCACTCGTCTTTGTAGCAGTCGAACAGCTTTAGGATTGAGGAAAGGGCCAAGATATCTGTTTGTTTTTTTTCCAATCCGCCAAGGTATCATCAAAAACGTATCATTACTTGATCTTGTTAAAATGGGCGTGCCTGACAATTTAAGGGAACCCTCCTCCAATCCAATTGATATCAATTTAGCATAATTTTCCCAATTGAAAGGACTTCATGGGGGTCAAATTTTCTTTGTTCAGACCTAAATATCAGAATCTTGGTTCGAACATGTTATAAATCCATATGGAGGTTTCCTGAAATGGGGGGTTACCCCTAAAATCATCCAGTTTAATAGGATTTTCCATGAAATAAACCATCCAGCTATTGGGGTATCCCCATATATGGAAACTGCATGAAACTCCCACAGAAAATCCCTATTTCTTCCAGTATCCCATGATGTATCCCCCATCCATCCCCTTCCTATCCCCATCTGCACTTTCCCAGACCAAAAAACGCTGGGCCGACTTGGCAGATGAGTTGGAAGAAGGCCACGTTGGACATGGGGAAAGGCATAGAATGGAGCTCTCCCGAAGCATAGAAGAGTACAGTAATCATAGTTTGGATAGAACATGGGATTAGATATACTAGCTAGTTTCTATTCTATAGTTGGACATGGGGAATGGACTTGGAAGTACGTTTCCATATCCTTTTTGGGGGCTGCTACAAGTGAGCATGGGCTGCTATAAATAAGTACAATAATCATATTGTAAGCGAAACAAGTATAGATGATATCTAATTATGGATGTAAATTGTAAATTATAAACCATTTACAACTCGAGATGCACAACCAGAGAAGCATGAAACCTAGAAGAGAGGGATTTCCCAGATTGGTCACCTGATTTTATTGCTGCATCCCAGGAATCGAACGTGGTTCATGACAGTGTTTAGTCTTCAAGTAGCCCAATTCCTGATCCCAGAATCCTTGTTCAGTGATGTCCCCCTATCGATAACCAACCCTCAGAAACCCTGATCTCCATCAGTATTTATTCGTTTTGCGGACCAATTTAGAGGCATTGCTGTTCAGTGGGTTTGGATTAGCCGAGCAAAATGACGATTTTTCACTGAGAAAGAAGAGTAGGAATAATAGTATAGAACCACATATTTGAGTGAAATGAGCAAAAATCAGCAAGACGACAAATGTTCAACCAAGAATCAAGCAGATTTTACCAACGATGAATCGGTAAATAAAGCATCTCTCTCTCTCTCTCCATGTATAATCATGTATGTATATATATATATATATTATGTATATATATATAATATGATCACCACATCATGATGTGGCTTATAAAATTGCATCTGGCAAGCCCGCCTGCCATAGAGAGGTGGCCCCAAGGGAGGTTGATGTGCACCCTAGGTGGAAGCCGGAGAGAGAAGCAGAAGAGAAAAGAACAAGAGGAGAAGACAGAGCCGTAAAGCGGAAGCAGCTTGTGTAGGAAGTGCTTGCCGTAACAACCTACTGACCGTGTACCAAATTAGTACTGCCCCCAGTAAAGTAGCGCCGGGTACTATGCATGAGCCTTCGGCTTGACAGCAGACCGCTGCATGGAAGGGGACAGGGTGGAAGCGCAGAGAGGTTGCCCCAAGGGAGGTTGACGTGCACGCTACCGTAGGTGGAAGGCGGAGAGGGAAGCAGAAGAGAAGAGAAGGAGAAGAAGAAGAAGAGGAGGAGACGAAGGCAGAGCCGGAGAGCAGAAGTAGCTTGCGTAGCAAGTGCTGGCTTCAATAACCTATTGGCCGCATAGCAAATGAGTACTGGCCGATCAGGTTAGTGCGTACGTCCTGTGACTAGTACAGCTGGACGACTGTAGTGCGGTGTAGACCGTTTCGCTAGCTACCAGCACTGAGTAGGAGCAGGAGGAGGAGGAGTAGGAGTAGGAGTAGTAGTAGTGGAGGGCGGGGGGATGAGGGGGGTGGACACGATTCAGACGAAGCAAAAACGCGTAGGAACAAGTACAAGCCACGAACAGGAACAGGAACAACACCTTCCAATCAGACACGGCGGCAGGCCGGTGGATTATTTCATGGCGAGCGTTTTGCTTGGAGATGGATTTTAAACGAACCACCAACAATTGGCGGAAAACAACTTGGTTTTCCAATGTTTTCCACAAAGAAAAACTCTGCCCTGAAAGTTCATAACCTCCAGCGCTGACGGCCTGCAGGGACAGACACAACTCAGAGCCCGGAGGATTTGGACACGAAGACAGGTGGGGGGTTTCGTCCAAAGGTCCTAGGACGTTGCTAAGGCAAAGGTACGAAAAGATGTGGAAAACCAATGGTGTCCCATTCGGAAAATTATCTACTTTCATGGTGGGTTTTCCTCATTTATATTGGGGTAGATTGTTCCAAAGTATCCCTCATTTGGTATCCGGTGTGTTAGTTTCTTGATTGATACGCCAACTTGTGGCTGTTCATGTTGTGAAGTCTAAACACCATAGACATCCCCGTACAACTTACCAGAAATGGATTCGGATCGTAAATAACCCTGCCCAATCTTGGTCTTTCAAAAAAGTGGCTGTCCCCAAATCAACTGGTTGATATTGGTTGATCATCATCATGTGCCTCATTATAGCTGCCATTTGGGGGTAGAACCCATTTTCAGGCACACATACTGTATCATCCTGTTTTGCTGGTTACCGTATTTCAATGGTTGATAGTTGCTCCGCAATACATGGATATAGCCTCACATCCCTATTAATTATATCCCATTATATCATTATTTTTCATGATCCATGATGATCCCTCAATTTTGATGCTTGAATTCCTGAAATTTGCAATTTTCCAATACTTTTTGAGCCGACCCAATCGTCAACCCTGCCGATGGAGGAGATGTCACTTCCCCAAGCTGCCATGAGGAGTCTCCAAGTTACTGGGCCTGGCAAGAATCGGGTGTCAGAATGTAACGCACGCATTACCCAATTGGTTATTTCTAGATGATTTTATAATTATAGTTTTTGATCACTTACCTATTAAAGTGTTGAAGAGCCAAAGGGTAGTCGGGTAGTACATGTTCTGATTATTAGTGTTACAGTAGTTTGATTGTTAGTAGTGTTGTTTGTTTTTGTCGTTCTTACTCGTGCTTTACATTATGTATGATACATTGTGTATATATATATATATGCACATACGCACTGTGATATTTGTGGATTGTTTTTTTTTGCCAGCCATTTTCTTGTGAATCATTGGGCATGGTTTATTTTTTGGGTTTATCACAATATCACGACCTCACGATGTGATGGGTGACATGGGGTCCTTGTTGTCCCTTTTGTCCCTTACACAAAGGGGGGCCGCAAACGACCATCCCCAAACTTGAAGAAGGTAATCCAGCATTACGTGATAATTCCACAATTATAATCTACAAATTAGTTCACGAAAAAACTATGCTACTTTAACATTGCTATTACCTGTGTGCATGTGTGTGATGGTTGTTGTGATTTGTATTTTGTGCCTTTCATCTACTACTACCAATACTACAACCACTACTACAACCACTACTACCACCACTACCACTACTACTCACTACTACTAACTACTACTACTACTACTGCTACTACTACTGCTACTACTACTACTACTGCTACTACTACTGCTACTACTACTACTACCACGACGACGACGACGACGACTACTACTACTACTACTACCACTACCACTACCACTACCACTACCACTACCACTACCACTACCACTACCACTACCACTACCACTACCACTACCACTACCACTACCACTACCACTAGTAGTACTACAGTAGATGGACAAAATATTCAAACCCCCTTCTATCCGGTACAACCCCTTCACCCCCAAAGTTCAATGTTAATGTAACCTGAAGTGAGGTAGCCCCAATGGGCGAAAAAAAAATCCAACCCTTCACATCACTTTTGCTAAAGCGTACGCTGAAACATTGAGATTTGGGGGTGCGGGGGTTCAACATAGTGCGTGTTGCAGGGATCGAATATTTTGTCCATCTGCTGTCTCGCTCTCTGATGTTTTCACATCTTGTGGTCTCCAAACTTTGTTGTGGAAATATCACTCTGCATGCTGCTGATTCTGATTCCAGACTGCGCAAAACATTGCCTTTTCACAAGTAAATGCCTCCTGTCTGTCTCCCGTCCCATTTTTTCTGTGAAAACACAATGCTTTGCACATTTTGGAATAAGTTGTGAATTAGGGAATAGGAAAAAATGGGACGAGAGAGACATGTAGCATTTGCCTGTGAAAACACAATTCTTTGCGTATTTTAGAATAAGTTGCGAATTGGGGAATAGACAAAATGGGACGGGAAGCATAAAGATCGCACTTACCTGTGAAAACACAATGTTTTGTGCACCTTGGAATAAATTGCGAAAAAATGGGACGGGAGACAGACAGGAGGCATTTACTTGCGAAAAGCCAATGTTTTACAAAGTTTGGAATAAGAATCAGCAGCATGTAGAGTGATATTTCCACAACAAAGTTTGGAGACCACAAGATGTGAAAACATCATAGAGCCGCGCACCCCAGTTGGTACCGTAGTACTTTTACTACTAGTATTCCTACTACTACAACAACAACGACTACTACTACTACTACCACTACTACTACTACTACTCCTACTACTACTGCTACTGCTACTGCTACTGCTACTGCTACTGCTACTGCTACTGCTTCTTCTACTGCTACTGCTACTGCTACTGCTACTGCTACTGCTACTGCTTCTTCTACTGCTACTGCTACTATACTAGTACTACTACTGCTACTGCTACTGCTACTGCTACTATACTAGTACTACTACTACTACTACTACTCCTACTACTCCTGCTACTACTACTACTACCACCACCACCACGACGACGACTACTACTACTACTACTACTACGACTACCCCTACTACTACTACTACGACTACTACGACTACTACGACTACTACTACTACTACTACTACTTACTCACTACTACTACTAATTACCCACTGCTCACTACTCACTGCTCACTACTCACTGGTCACTGCTCACTACTCGCTACTACCTCCTACTCTGCTACTAATGCTACTGCTGCTACTAATGCTACTGCTACTTCTACTGCTACTACTACTACTGCCACTACTACCACTACTACCACTACTACCACTACCACCACCTAAAACCACTATTGCTATTGAGTCTTTCACAGGACATTCAACTCTGTGTTGAATAAAAGATCCATGTCTTTGGCCCCATTGTCAGATTGATTGAACATCTTGGAAACGGTAACGGCATTGAAGGATTATAAAACTGCAAATGTCGAGGAATTTGCGTGCTGAAGAAAAATCAATAACTTCATAAATGGTTTTCAATGGTAAGATCATTTCAATATTGATGATATGAATGCTACTGATTCGGTTTATTTCATTTGGGCATGAAAACATTTCTATCATGCATTCAACACAATCGACACATTGAATGAACCGCACGCGCTCCATTATATTACAGTCATTTTGAAGGGTTTATCTCCCAGTTTCAAATCATCAAATTTCACCCAGGTTGGAAGGTCAAGGGCTCCCGCGACCGCTGGCCGCGGGATTCACGGGCCTCCGGATCCACGTCGTGGTCGGCGTCGTGGACGTCATCGTGGACGTCGCCGTGGTCGGCGTCGTCCTCCAGTCATGTACCGCGGTGGAAAGCGGCTGGATGGGGGAGTTTTACCTTGGAAAATCCACGATAAATGGTTTTATGGCTGGGAAAATGTGAGAACATGATCTAGACATGGGGAATTTTCCAGCGGATCGTGACCGTGTCCCCTCGATGACAAAATTGGTATTTCGCGGTGGCGAAATGCCAATTTTCACTCTCAAATCATGCGCGTGCCATTGAAAAATCAACATGAACTTTGCTCTCCATTTTACAAAGTCCCACAAATACCACGTGTCTGTCTTTTAACAAAGAATCAGTGAAATTGAAATCGACAACCTTTCACAGGGCACCGTATCAACCGCCTACCTAGTTTTTTTAACAATGAACCCATAATTTTCGATGGTGAACTTGCCATCAGTCCATCGGCATCCAGGCACCAGGCGGCTGGGGGAACCAGATGCAATGGCGACCACGCCACGGCCACGAGCACGAGGCAAAAACTTCGTACAACGAGGCGAGCTGAAGCGGGGCAGATTGTGGTGGTGTCCCTGGAGGTGTTTAAACAACATATGAATATGGGGATTTATGGTTGATTTATGGTGTTTAACATATGGGGAATTATGGATTTACCAACATATGGGGATTCTCTCTTAGAGAAGTTGTTAACTCCACGAACGTTTGGGTTCATCATGCATATGTCATATGTCGAAATATGTCGAAATAGTTGATGGAGGTTATCAGTTGAAACACACCATCCAGAAACCATGGTGCATGTTCTGGGGATTTAGGCATATTTAAAGGATGTTTTTCATATTTGGGGGATGGGATTATATTTATATGGGATATCAATCATTTACCAATCGTTTTATCAATTATATCCAAGATGTTTGATGGTTCACGGCTATTCCAGGTATTAGGTGGACAATACAACATTGGATAAACAACTATGAATTTCCCATAAAAAATCACTGGGGAGACGAGCATCCACAAATCTCATGTATTTTGGGGTTCACCAGGTTCACAGGGTTTTGACCCATAGCCTAGCCATATCACAAAGCCAATTTGATTATTGGAATGTCCTCAGTTGTAGTTATTGATATGGGTGATATATGTAAAAACTATCTTATAAATCTGTAGGTTGCAAACCACTTATGAACTTACACAAGTGGGAATGACTACAGTAGTTGTGGATATATATATATATAAATATACACATACAATATTATGTATAGTGTTTTATTAATTACATTGTTATCATTGTTATCTATACCATGTGATACTCAGTTGCCCAAAACCCATCGGAAACGCCAGATTCTTCTGAGTCCAGCGGCACTTTTTGGGGTCAATTCTTTGGTCAAAACCCAGTGTAACATATATATTTTATCCTAATATTGTGGGGATAATAAACATTAAACATCCAATATGTACAATATCATTTACAAGCTATGAACTCGTGTTAGGCTACGAAGCTTCCGATAGCCATATCAATTGCAGACCTTGAAAACCAGTCTTCCCTTCCAGTTGCAATGAACATTGGCTATAACGGCTACAACTGCTGGTCGGCTGTTGCTTAGTCAGCTTAGTATCCTGTTGAAACCCCCCCGGTGACCATTTTTTCCCAAGTAATTTGTAGCAAAGGGGCCATGATTAGATTCGTACGAAAATGGCGAACACTTATACCAACAGAAATGAAAATTAGAGGGGGAAATGATGGAAAGTGGGATCTTAAACCATCACAAACCATCCATTTTCGGTTTTGGGCCCTTTATCGCCTTCTTCGCAAACGAAGTCAGTTTGACCGCCCAGGGACACCGATCCAACTGGGGAGGCCGACAAAATTTTCCACCCGGTGAGCCGGGTAGTTTTCGCAACTGGCTGTCAAATTATGGGGTATCCCCTGTTAATAATAGGATAAACCACCTATCAACTGGTCTAGGATTTCTTCTATCCACTCAAATGATGGCTATACGAGGGTACTATATATACCTCTTTTTTCAATTGTGCAGAGATATGGGAACAAAGGCCTTGGATGTTTTTGTGCTTGCGCATACGTGGATAAAACCGCTGTTTGCAGATGATGGTTCACTTACTAAAAGTTGGGATATTTGAGCCCAGCAACTCACAACTAGTGCCATGGTAAACAGCAGGGCACTCTGGAGTGCAGTGGAACCACAACAAAGGGTGGAACATTGTGGAACTTTCTGGTATCCATTGAATTTTCCCTTTCCATGTGGGGTTTTTACCCAGTGTGGCCAAGTGGAGGTGTACGCATCCATAAGAAGTAAGAGTTGCGTGAATTGGGGCATTGAAAAAAAAAACAAAGAGGGTGGTTGTCGCTTCAAAAGTGCTCAGTCTTGAGGCTGTTAGTCAAGTTGTCAACCTCCAAATTTGTCTGGTTTCAAATCAGCCGCCTTCCAAGATATTATGCGACGCTGCTACGCATTTCCAGATCTAGGGGTAATTGATGTGGAGGTTTCCCGAAATAGGGGGTACCCCGAAATCATCCATTTTAATAGGGGGTACCCCCAATTTGGAAACTTCCATATTAATTGATACCCATTCTGAGTCGTACATGTAACCACAGAACGTGATTAGGACCTTAGGATCTGAAACCTTCCGTACTCTTCCGTCCTGGTCCAACAATCCCAGAAATGAATGGAACATCTCCAGGAAAACCGATAGATCTGATGGATTCTGATGGTAAAGACCATGGTTTCCACCTTGAAGCCATCACATTCATCCACTGCCCGCTTGCCAGACTCTTGGGGTGGCTGGTATGAGCGACCCAAGGGAAAGGGCAAAGGCAAGAGCTGCTCGGAAGTTCAAAAAATCCAAAATCGGGAGTTACCCTCTGGCTATTTATAACAGTTTGCTATGGAAAGTGATGATAAATATATTTGAATGATGATTTACCTATCAAGAGTTGTGATTTTCCATAGCCACGTTAAATAGTCAGAGGGTAGAACTAAATGGTTGAGCATAGTTGAGCCATTTGGGTTTGTCTCAAAAAAATTGGGAACCCTCAAAATCCAGTGGTTTCTCATCACGTGCACCTGTCAAAATAGCAATTCCTATGGCATCACTAGTTTTTCAGACACACCCCTCTAGCTACCACTAATGTTACACAAAATAAAGCGATGAGACTTCAGTATCCAATATTCTTTTGTGTAGCATCATAGGTTGCCCAGCTTCAAAAACCAGGGCGCGTAGCGTTTCGAGATGATTTGGTGGTTTCTTCAGACATGTATAGATGTTAAGATATAGGAACAATGGAAAATCTGGCTCAAGGTGCTTAGCAAAGCTGAAGCTGACAGGCAGATTTGATTTCAGGATTGGACCCGAAATGATCCGAAATGTTCTACTTATATAATAAATCTATATGAATCTCATACCTCTCTTCCAAATAAGCCTGCCCAAAATGGATAGCCCATCCATGGAGTTCCCACGAAAATCATCCCATCAAGTTGGTCTTTAAAATGCTGCCCCAAGAATCACTCCCAATCCCAAATAAGCAAGAACACATTATTGGCATTGTGGGATGGTGATGCTGATCTTTGATCATGCAAAGCACGAGAGTGTTGATTCGTTGTGCTCACAGACCATTCTATCAATGAAAAATCCGTGGATCCGGAGAAAAATCTGTCCCACTGGGGCGGAATGACCTTGGCACAAGGGAAATCTTCTAGAGGATCACATTGGTTCGATGGACATGAAACCATTCCGAAACCCTTAATAGTTGATGGGAGCATATCATGGTATATGGTTTCCTGTATATTTTCCCGTAAATTCAATCCATTGATTAGACCAAATATCCCCGTTTTTTTGATGGTTAAATGACTAATTTTATTCATGGTTAACTCCCTCAATTCTTGCGAAGTGATTCCACCAGAAGTGTCTTCCTATCCACCGCGCCGGCTTCGGGGCTTCACCTTTCAGGTAAAGCCAAAGGCGAGGGCAAAAGCGTAGGCGTGGCGTCGAAATGCCAGTGCCAGTGCCTTGGCGGAACGAGTTTGGTGAGATTTGGGGATGGGTCTGATGGGTCCAAACCATTCCAAACCTATGGGGAACCAACATCCATTGGATGCAGCCTGCTGTTAGGATACCTTTTTGGTGCCGTTTTGACTCGACATTTAGGGAAAAAAACCCAAGAGCCACTGGCTTCTCTCTTTATTTTCGCAGTGAGAAGATGATGAGTTTTGGCTTATCCACCTGTTCGACAAATCTTCCATGCTCCAAGCATTTGGGATTGCAATATGTTACTATTTTTTCCTTGACTCAGGATGAATAATAACCCTCCTGATTGACGATTTTTTGTGGGTGGATCCCCAAAGTAGTTCAAGTAGATTCAAGTAGAAAGAACCTGCCATATCAATCAAACAGGAGACGAATCCCTTTCCCCCAGTCACACCCAACGAAACCATGGTGGATGTAGCGGATAAAGACACCATGATGACTGGGACATACTGGAACCATTGATCATGAGGGTGGAACTAATATGAGCGCAGGGATGGGATTGATGTGGTTAAAGAGGTCTTGTCCCTCTTTCGCTCTTTCGCCGGCCTTAAAAAAAAACACAAGTCCCTAGTGATGGTGGAATGACCAAACCCCATATACTACCAGTACCATGAAAGAGGAGCCCACCAGCCACCAAAAGTGATCAGTCTTCCAGAATGCAAACCTAGGGCAAGGTTCCTAGAATTGTTTTCAATGTTTTTGCAGGAAACTCCTATGTTTGGGCTAAAAGCCCTGGGTTTCCTGCAAATTTCCCCTTATTATCAATCCTGACAAAACATCTTAGATTGTAAAGATCATTTAAACAAGACACATTTTTGAATGGTAAAACCATGTAAACCTCCATGTTTGATGGTCAAAACCACCATTTTTGATGGTTAAACGCCTCCGCACTGGTCTCCCTAGTGGCATCTCCAGGTTCATCATTGGTATTGAGGAAGAAAACAAGTTCCGTGTGTGTCGACGGCTACCTGGAGAGAAATTAAGGGCAAGAAACGCCCAGTTGGTACCAATGGGGCGGGGGGTGGCATTCTACCGTTTACAAATCATCTGCATATATTATTATATTATATATTATTATATAAGACATATATAGTTATAGTATGAAATAATATCTAATAGTATGTAGGAATATTCTATAATGGAATACGTAATATCGTAATCAAATTTTAGGAAGCAATACAATATACTGCAATACAACATATAGATAGAATATAATATCATGTAGTATCCAATAATATCTAATGAATATATATATATATATTATGTATGTATGTAAGACTAACTATAGTCCAGATCAGATCATATGATATATATATATACATAAAGAGAGGGAGAGAGAGAGAGAGAGTAGATGTTATATAATATGTGCCTAGAATATAACATATGTTATATTTGATATTCTATATATTGTAAGTATTAAATAGTAAATAATATCTAGTAGTTAATACACAATGAATACCGTATATTGTATATCAAGCAACATATAATATGTTTTGTTTGTAATATATAATCTATAGGTTATAGTATAGAATATGACTCATATGACATATAAAGAATAACATGCAATATATATATGTATCTAATATTCACTATATATATATACTTAGTATACAGTATCGAAGATTCGGTATATCATATATAATATTCAGTGTACAACATATGCCATTTACTTTATACAATGATATACAATGTATATATAATATATAACACAGAATACATGATATATAACATGTAATGACATAAAATGTGATATAGATATGTTGTTCCTATAGTTTCCATGCACAAAGCTTTGTGGATCAGTCGTCGCTACCCCAGCGAGGTAACCATGGACGGTTGAGCCTGGCTTAAACTACCACGGATTTTTCAGGAGCTTAAAAATGAGGATCTGAGGGTATGCCCTTCCTACCCCAAAAAGTTGCTTCTTACATAATGTTGTGATTTTTACTCTTCAACCCGTATTAGTTTGAATTGTTGTGCCAGAAGTGAACGACAATGGTTGTTCCCAAAAAGGGTGATTCTTACATAGGGGGGTGTCATTGAACATGGTTGGGGTCACGGTGGAGCCAAAACTTTTTTTTTGGTGGAGGATGATGGCATATATAAATAAACATTACTTAGCCATTTCTTGGGTCTTTACACAGGCCTTACTGCTTACATACTGCCCATCTGTATGTAAGCAATACATAGCCCTTACATAGCCCTTACATGCTGCCTTACATACTGCCTTACATACTGCTACCTGGGAGCAGTATGTAAGCAATACATAGCCCTTACATAGCCCTTACATACTGCTTACATACTGCTTACATACTGCTTACATACTGCTTACATACTGCTCCCAGGGCCAAAACACTAGAGTTTTTCCACATTTTGGAGCTGTGTGGGAATCCCCTAAATTGGCTCAATTTTCCCAAGGCAAAATACGGTCTTTTTTGGTCACACTTTGAAACTTTAGGCTTGGTGGCCCATAATAAAGTGGGCAACTGCGTGATGAGTACCATAATTTCAATTCAAAATAGATAAGATCCAAACATTATACCGCCGGACTGAAAGTTAGAATGCCCATTTGGTGGCGGCAAGTGGATTTAGATATCCATTTCCGCGTACCGCGTGAGAAATTTGGGAGGCATTCTAACCCTATTTATTTAGTCCTGAAACCCCTAAACAAATCCGGGACGGCATTCTAACCCTATTTATGTAGTCCTGAAGACCCCAAAACTCCAAAATATCGAATTTTCGACTGTCCCGTGTCTTCCATGTACTACAAATATGCAGAATATGCATGAAATCTACCCAACAATACAATGAAAAATAATGAAAAACATCTTTAAAACATTGAAAAGTCAATGAAAAATGATGAAAAACATGTAAACACATTGAACAATCAATGAAAAATAATTAAACACATCTTGAAAATAATGAAGAATCATTGAAAAATAATGAACAACATCTTCAAAATAATGAAACATCAATGAAAACCATCTTTAAAATAAAAAACATTGAACAATAATGAAAAACATCTTCGAAATACTGAAAAATCACTGAATGCCGTCCCGGATTTTTTAAAAGGGGTTTCGGGACTAAATAAATAAGGTTAGAATGCCTCCCGGATTTCTCACGCGGTACACGTTTTTTTTTTTGAAATCCATGTCTTTCCACCAAAGTGACATTATAACTTTCAGTTGTACCATATAATTGGAAAAAACAATGAAAAATAATGAAGCACATCGTCAAAATAACGAAAAAACAATGAAAAATAATGGATCTACCCATGATCAATAAAAAATGTCACAATATGCAGAAAAAATGCAATATCGTCATCCGCCGATCCAAGAACACCTCGTTTACTCACATCTGATATGTATGTACATGATTGTAAATGTACATACGTACAGCGCATATATGTGTGTACAAGGCCGTTTTCGGAGGTTACCATCCTGTTTAATCAACATTTCATTATCGTGGGGAATACCGTGGGAAAATCCGCGACGGGCATTCTAACCCTATTTATTTAGTCCTGAAACCCCTAAAACTCCAAAATGTTTGACGCATTTTTCGACCGTTCCGTGTCTTCCATGCATATGGTACTGCAAATATGCAGAATATGCATGTAAATTGCAAACAAATCTTTCCATGAACAATAAACAATGTCATAATATGCAGAACAAATGCAATATCGTATTATAAATGTGTAGAATATGCAGGTATTCGCCAAAAAAACATGCTCATGATCAGCAAAAAAAATATATGACCACTAAAATTGACAGAATATGCAGAAAACAGGCAATATCGTCATCTGCCGATCCAAGAACGCCTCGTTTACTCACATCTGATATGTATGTGCATGATTGTAAATGTACATATATGTAGTATATACAGCGCATATATATATGTGTAATGCTGTTTTCAGAGATTACCATCCTGTTTAATCAAAATTTCATTGTCGTGGGGAATATCGTGGGAAAATCTCGACGGGCATTCTAACCATATTTATTTAGTCCTGAAACCCCTTAAAAAAATCCGGGACGGCATTCTATCCCTATTTATTGAGTCCTGAAACCCCTAAAACTCCAAAATTATTGACGCATTTTCGACCGTCCCGTGCCTTCCATGTACTGCAAATATGCAGAATTTGCATGTAAATTGCGACCAAACCTTTCCATGGACAATAAACAATGTCATAATATGCAGAAAACATGCAATATCGTACAATCATGTATAATCAATATGTAGAATATGCAGGTATTCGCCAAGATAACATGCTCCTGATCAGCACAAAAAAATAACCACTAAAATTGACAGAATATGCAGAGAAAATGCAATATCGTCATCGGCCGATCCAAGACACCTCGTTTACTCACATCTAATATGTATGTACATGTACATATATGTAATATATACAGCGCATATGTATATCTGTGTATGATGCCGTTTTCGGAGGTTACCATCCTGCTTAATCAACATGTCATTATCGTGGGGAATACCGTGGGAAAATCCCCGACGGGCATTCTAACCCTATTTATTTAGTCCTGAAACCCCTAAAACTCCAAAATTGTTGACGCATTTTCGACCGTCCCGTGTCTTCCTTGTACTGCAGATATGCAGAATATGCATGTAATTTGCAAACAAATCTTTCCATGAACAATAAACAATGTAAACATTTGCAGAAAACATGCAACATCGTATTGTAAATTGTAAATTTAAATATGTAGAATATGCATGAATATGCAGGTATTTGCCCAAAAAATATTGCTCATGATCAGTAAAAAAAGTACATGATCAATCAAAAATGACAGAATATTGAAAAATGCCATATCGTTTGTGTGTAATGCCGTTTTCGGAGGTTACCATCCTGTTTAATCAACATGTCATTATCGTGGGGAATACCGTGGGAAAATCCCCGACGGGCATTCTAACCTTATTTATTTAGTCCTGAAACCCCTAAAACTCCAAAATTATTGACGCATTTTCGACCGTCCCGTGTCTTCCTTGTACTGCAAATATGCAGCATATGCATGTAAATTGCAAACAAATCTTTCCATGAACAATAAACAATGTAAACATTTGCAGAAAACATGCAACATCGTATTGTAAATTGTAAATTTAAATGTGCAGAATATACAGGTATTTGCCCCAAAAAAATTGCTCATATCAGAAAAAGAACATGATCAACAAAAAATGACGGAATATTACAAAAATGCAACATCGTCTGTGTATAATGCCGTTTTTGGAGGTTACCATCCTGTTTAATGAGCATTTCATTATCGTGGGGAATACCGTGGGAAAATCCCCGACGCGCATTCTAACCCTATTTATTTAGTCCTGAAACCCCTAAAACTCCAAAAATCTTGACGCATTTTCGACCGTCCCGTGTCTTCCATGTACTGCAAATATGCAGAATACGCACGTAAATTGCAAACAAATCTTTTCATGAACAATAAACAATGTCATGATATGCAGAAAACATGCAACATCGTATTGTAAATTGTAAATTTAAATTTGCAGTTTTTGCAGGTATTTGCCCAAAAAAACATGTTCATGATCAGCAAAAAAAACATCAATAAAAATTGACAGAGTATGCAGAAAAAATGCAATATCGTCATCCGCCGATCCAAGAACACCTCGTTTACTTACATCTAACATGTATGTACATGTACATTTATGTAATATATACAGCGCATATATATGTGTGTATAATGCCGTTACCATCCTGTTTAATCAACATTTCATTATCGTGGGGAATACCGTGGGAAAATCCCCGACGGGCATTCTAACCCTATTTATTTGTTTAGTCCTGAAACCCCTAAAACTCCAAAATGTTTGACGCATTTTTCGACCGTCCCGTGTCTTCCTGTACTGCAAATATGCAAATATGCATGTAAATTGCAAACAAATCTTTCCATGAACAACAAACAATGTAAACATTTGCAGAAAACATGCAACATCGTATTGTAAATTGTAAGTTTAAATGTGCAGAATATACAGGTATTTGCCCCAAAAAACTTGCTCATATCAGAAAAAGAACATGATCAACAAAAAATGACGGAATATTACAAAAATGCAACATCGTCTGTGTATAATACCGTTTTTGGAGGTTACCATCCTGTTTAATCAACATGTCATTATCGTGGGGAATACTGTGGGAAAATCCCCGACGGGCATTCTGCATTCTAACCTTATTTATTTAATCCTGAAACCCCTAAAACTCCAAAATTTTTGACGCATTTTCGACCGTCCCGTGTCTTCCATGTACTGCAAATATGCAGAATATGCATGTAAATTTCAAAAGAATCTACCCATGACCAATAAAACATGTGATAGTAAGCAGAAAAAATGCAACATCGTATTGTTATTTACAATATGCAGAATAAACAGGTATTTGCCCAAAAAAACTTGCTCATGATCAATCAAAAAAAACACACTATGCAGAAAAAATGCAATATCGTCATCCGCCGATCCAAGAACACCTCGTTTACTCACATCTAATATCATCCAATTAATATGTATGTACATGTATACATATTATGTAATATTTACAGCGCATATATATGTGTGTGTATAATGCCGTTTTCGGAGGTTACCATCCTGTGCATTTCAGGATGGTGGAGAATACCGTGGGAAAATCCCCGACGGGCATTCTAACCATATTTATTTAGTCCTGAACCGTCTAAAACTCCAAAATTCTTGACGAAATTTTCGACCGTCCTGTGTCTTCCATGTACTGCAAATATGCAGAATATGCATGTAAATTGCAAACAAATCTACCCATGAGCAATAAAACATGTCATAATATGCAGAAAAATGCAACATCGTATTGTAAATTGTAAATTTAAATGTGCAGAATATACAGGTATTTGCCCCAAAAAACTTGCTCATATCAGAAAAAGAGAAACCTGATCAACAAAAAATGACATAATATTACACAAATGCAACATTGTCTGTGTATAATGCCGTTTTTGGAGGTTACCATCCTGTTTAATGAGCATTTCATTATCGTGGGGAATACCGTGGGAAAATCCCCGACGGGCATTCTGCATTCTAACCCTATTTATCTAGTCCTGAAACCCCTAAAACTCCAAAATTCTTGATGCATTTTCGACCGTCCCGTGTCTTCCATGTACTGCAAATATGCAGAATTTGCATGTAAATTGCAGCCAGATCTTTCCATGAACAATAAACAATGTCATAATATGCAGAAAAATGCAATATCGCATTTTAAATATGTAGAATATGCAGGTATTCGCCACAAAACATTTTCATGATCAGCAAAAAAGTATAGATCACTAAAAATCACAGAATATGCACAGAAACAATGCAATATCGTCATCCGCCGATCCAAGAACGCCTCGTTTACTCACATCTAATATGTATGTACATGTATACATATATGTAATATATACAGCGCATGTATACATGTGTATAATGCCGTTTTCGGAGGTTACCATCCTGTTTAATCAACATTTCATTTTGTCGGCAATACCGTGGGAAAATCCCCGACGGGCATTCTAACCCTATTTATTTAGTCCTGAAACCCCTAAAACTCCAAAATTCTTGACGCATTTTCGACCGTCCCGTGTCTTCCATGTACTGCAAATATGCAGAATTTGCATGCACATTGCAACCAAATCTTTCCATGAACAATAAACAATGTCATGATGTGCAGAAAAATGCAACATGGTATTGAAAAATTTAGATATGAAGAATATACAGGTATTTGCCAAAAAAATGCTCATGATCAGCAAAAAAGACATGATCAATAAAACATTACAGAATATTGGACAAATGCAATAACGAATGCCGTTTTTTGGAGGTTACCATTCCGTTTAATCAACATTTACATTGTCGTAGGGAATACCGTGGGAAAATCCCCGACGGGCATTCTGCATTCTAACCTTATTTATTTAATCCTGAAACCCCTAAAACTCCAATTTTTTTGACGCATTTTCGACCGTCCCGTGTCTTCCATGTACTGCAAATATGCAGAATATGCATGTAAATTGCAAAACAAATCTACCCATGACCAATAAAACATATCATTATATGCAGAAAAGATGCAACATCGTATTGTAAATATAAATATGCAGAATTTGCAGGTATTTTCCCCAAAAAAACATGTTCATGATCAGCAAAAAAAAGATCAATAAAAAATGGCATATGCAGAAAAAATGCAATATCGTCATCCGCCGATCCAAGAACACGTCGTTTGCTCACATCTAGATTTCATTTATCTATTTAAAACCTATATAGAATTCATAAGTTTTAGGGGCATATGCTGCGGAGGCATTCTAACCTACAAAAAACAAGGTTTGGTGGCCCCGGCAAACCAAGCTTTTGGACGGTTTTCGACTACGGTATTTTACGGGTTTTTATGGGTTTTGATGAGTTTTTACAGGTTTTCGACGGTTTTTCTACGGGTTGTGGCGAAGCTGCTTCATCAAAAACCTGGTTTTGTTGGCTAAAACCTGTTTTTTTTCGCAGAAACTAGCTCAAAACCAGGTGTTGATACCTCGACCCGCTTTTTTCAGGGATTTGGTTGATGTAGGATATATGATGATGATATCAAACTTTGGTAAGTATTTATCTCAACCGTCATTGGGGACCAAGATTTCATTTATCTATATAAAACCTAGATAGAATTCAGAAGTTTTGGGGGCATATGCTGCGGAGGCATTCTAACCCTACAAGAAAGCAGGTTTGGTGGCCCCGGCAAACCAAGCTTTTGGACGGTTTTCGACTACGGTATTTTACGGGTTTTTATGGGTTTTGATGAATTTTTACAGGTTTTCGATGGTCTTTCTACGGGTTGTGGCGAAGTTGCTTCATCAAAAACCTGGTTTTGTTGGCTAAAACCTGTTTTTTTTCGCAGAAACTGGCTCAAAACCAGGTGTTGATACCTCGACCCGCTTTTTTCAGGGATTTGGTTGATGTAGGATATATGATGACGATATCAAACTTTGGTAAGTATTTATCTCAACCGTCATTGGGGACCAAGATTTCATTTATCTATATAAAATCTAGATAGAATTCAGAAGTTTTGGGGGCATATGCTGCGGAGGCATTCTAACCCTACAAAAAACAAGGTTTGGTGGCCCCGGCAAACCAAGCTTTTGGTCGGTTTTAGACTACGGTATTTTACGGTTTTTTGTTGGTTTTGATGAATTTTTACAGGTTTTCGACGGTTTTTCTACGGGTTGTGGCGAAGTTGCTTCATCAAAAACCTGGTTTTGTTGGCTAAAACCTGTTTTTTTCGCAGAAACTAGCTCAAAACCAGGTTTTGATACCTCGGCCCGTTTTTTTCAGGGATTTGGTTGATGTAGGATATAAATATAAGTATATAGATATAAATATAAATATAAAAATATATATATATATAATATATATATATATTATATAAGAATTCAAAAATCTATATATAGAATTCAGATGTTTTGGAGGCATATGCTGCGGAGGCATTCTAACCCTACAAAAAGAGAAAGGTTTGGTGGCCCCGGCACAACAGGTAGGCAAGTTTGATCAAACAATTTTTTAACATTTTTATCCACATTTACCAGCATAATACGGACTGAAAGGTAGAATTTTAGTAGAATTTTTAAGACAATTTTCGGGGGGGCATTCTAACTTTCAATGGTTTTTTTTTGGTGGCAGGTGGGTCATTCTAACTTTCAGTCCGGCGGTATACTGTTCTCGACAATTTGATTTGTTGAACATAGGCTTGCCAGGGACCTACAGTGGTTATATAAGTTATATAAGTTAAAGGTTGGTCAAACTTACAAAAAGAACAAAACATATATTCGAATACATGGGCCGTACATATGCCTTACAAATAGGAGTATATAAGGCTCATGTAAGGGATATATACTGCTAGCCAAGGGCTATATAGGTGAGAACCTCCTAATCCAGTTCCTGAAAAATCCCCTGTAGTGGGATTACTAGCCAGTATTTTTGTTGAGGTCGGATAGGGGTATTTTCGCAAGCAGTTGAGGCCGTGTTTCCATGGTTTCCTGCACGTCCCTTACTATGAATTATAAATCAATCGACTGCAGGGATGGGCAACAAAACATGATTTCGCCAAGAAATCATGGCGGTTCAATGTAACAATTTCTGCTTCTCAAGTCAACTGTTCTTTTTCAGGGTTTCTTTTAACCCCAAGTCAGAGGGCAAAAGATCACTTTGACTCGTACCCCTGCTATCACATGGCACATTTTAGAATTAGATAGTTTTGCTGGATTATTTTGCAAATGGAGAATCCAAGTAACCATCCAAGTACCATTTATTTTTAAATGAGTTTTTCATACTAACCATTTAAGTTGGATAATATTGTTTCACTGGTCAAGTGATTACAATTTATTACCAAGCATAATCGGATGGTTTTATTTGCGATCATTGATAACATTTATAGGACGAAGGCCTGCTTTGGCTGGGGTGAAAATTGCCACAAAGACTTAATCCCTAAGACCTATGACGTTGCATCTTTTTACAGAAGTTGCCACTCGACAAGTTTGCCACTTTGCAACTAGTGACTTTGATCGAGGCTGTTAGGACCTCAAGGTCAGCACATGAAGGAAATTGCTCAAGGGACCGGCGTTTCTTGGCTGCCAAACTGGGAAGTCAATGGCTATCTCTGTTGGCGATGCTGGGAGATACCTTGGGTATATGGGTTTGTTTGAAAATCATGGATACCCAGAATGGCTATTTTAATTGGGAAAATGATGATAATCCATTGGAATTGAATAATTGGCAAGTCCATGTAGGTATAGATTGCTGATGATTAATGGGTCAATAGAACTTAGATGAAATTATGCAAAGTTATGTTATTTGTATACACATATATACATATATATATACACATATATACATAATATATATATACACATGTATCTAGACATATTCGTGATACTTCCACCGGATAGTTTGGGCATATAGATTATTGATTTTTTGTTTCAGATTATTTAAAATTATACACCCAATGCCGTGTTGTTGGACATATGATACCCCATTATTTGGATCATGTTGATTATGTTTTTTGTGTTTGGTTACTGGGATGGTTTACTGCATTGGGTATACCACATTGATTGCATTGCTGTCGACTCTGGAAAACAACATGCAGTTCATCGAACATGTCTATTGATTTTGCATGGTATCCAAGACATAGATGAAAACGGGACTAATTAATAGGACCGTCTCGAAACGATGGGAACACCTGGATGGGAGATGGAAGTGAAACCGCTAGTCACTTAGATTTCTAGCTGATATATATATATATATATATTATATATCCCACTAAGAGTTAAACCACGTTAAACCATGTTAAACCTTTCGCAGGGGAGGATCAGGCCCAGTGCTGGGTATACAGCCAAGCTGTTTTTTGTTGCAGCCAAGACAAGTCATGCGTTTTCATATATTCCCCATTCTCTATGTGCTCGGTGCAGGTCACAAGTTCTTGGTGTAAAAATCACAAATTCTCTGCATTTTGGTTTCCTATAATTAGTCACCATTTCTCCCCTCTCTTTGTTTATGAATTTGGCCCTGTTCCGCTTTTGTTGTTGATCGAGTCCCAATTGTTTGTGTTTTCATGTTTTTTCTAACTCGCAAGAAGTGTGCTTCCCGTTCTTGAAGGGTAAACTCCAAAAAGCAACTTCGAAACAAATTATGTTTGAATAATATCCCCCACCATTAGTTTATAAAATAGTTGATTCCCTCTGGTAAACTATCTTAATTAGCTATAGAACTGGATCATTTATAGTTGATTTACCTCTTAAAAGCGTGATTTTCCAATTCGCTTTTTGCATGTTTACCAGGCCGGGTAAGTGGTTAATCCTATCCCAATGAGCACCACGAATCACTCGGGTGCGAGAACTTGGCAGGCCAAGCTCCGCTTGCGTGGGCGTGGCTCAAAGTTCCTGGAGGGTCCAGAGCAACAGGTTGCGTGGAGGGTGACCACATTGACCACATGGGGATGGTGACCAAGTTACCAACAAAAACTAACAGCTGGTTGGTGGTTTCAAACATTTTTTTTCCATCCATTGGTGAATCATGATGTGATCTCATGTGATCTCCATTTCATTGTAGCATCTAATTAATAGTATCTAAAAATGTGTTTTCCGTGAAACTAATAGCTGGTTGGTGGTTTCAAACATGGCTTTTATTTTCCTTTTCATATATGGGATGTCATCATCCCAACTGAAGAACTCATATTTTTCAGAGGGGTAGGTATACCACCAACCAGTATATATAAAATTATTAAATGCCATGTGACTGGGGCAAGAAACATCCACAAATCAAGCTGTGGAAAAGGGTACCTTGGGTGGGTTTGGACGAACATAGCCTTTATTTATTTTTGCTTTGTAGTAGTTCCCCAAAGAGATTGAAGAGTGATGACAAGTTCATTTACCACCCTTTTTAAGTGGCATTTTATACTTTCCTATCTAATTTGGGATTGCTATAATGGTATTCAGGAGATCCTTTTGGTGAGGGTATTGGGTGGTAGGCCGATTTGATCATGATAGGTAGAATGTACTGCACTTTGAGGTGAGTGGCTGGTAACAGAAATGATTTCAGCCCTGCGAAGTGGGAGATGTCAAAAGTAGTTCATAGGGGGTACCTTATATCCCACTATACATGCAGTCTCCCAATTATGTACCCATTCAATGGCCAATAAATGTTATCCCCCCAAGAACTGGATAATACTTCCACTTTATTCTACGGAGTTTTGCTTGTGAAATCCCTATTTGCCCTAGCCCCACCAAGATCTTGATCCTCATTTTTTTCCGCATCGATTCTCAGTATCTCCTTAGATTCCATCCTTCATAGATTCCCTAGGGATCGGCTGATCACCCAATTTCTGTTGGAATCACTGCACCGGGCAGGAATCCTCCGATCCCCTGATGCTATGTGTCTCGGCGCCCGACCCCGCGTCCTACGAAAAGACTAAGTTGGGGAGCTCAGGGCCTTAGAGCTGTGCAGGGGAAGCTCCCTTGAAACCTGGGAGGTTGACTTTGGGATAACTTTGGGATGATTTTTAGGGATTTAAATTTACTATAATTTACTCGAACAACATCAGTGGACATGTTTTCGGGATGTCTTGTTTGTGCTTTTGGAGAAACACCAATGATTGGAAGGATGTTTGAGAACTTTTGAATGAAAAAGCATGCTTCTGGGCTGCAAAGGATGACATGTCGCGAAATATCATGGTGACATCTGGAATGATACATCAGCTGTCATGAAAGATGTCATGAAATAGATCAGCCTTAATATGGGTCAAAACCTGCGATGCCAAACTTGGGAGCGACGGGTTTTATCGCAATATCATGGAACATTTCTGGAACGAGAAAACGTGTATATTAATCACAACTATAGAATTCAATTATTTCATTAAAGAACTGCATAATTGAATATCTCATATATTTCACTAACGATGCTAGCACGCTTAGTCAACATTTTCCTGATTGGTTTGGAAGAGGTCAGCCATTCTGCCTTGGTGTGTTTCAGCTCGACACTACCACTGTATATCATTGTATATTTACTATTCGAATTAATTTATCTATATATTTGTATACATAGCTGGAGCATGCAAAATCGCGATTTGCCAACTGAAGAGCACTTCTTGTTCACTCCCGTTGGGTAGTCTACTTTCTTCATGTTTTCAATACTCACATCAAGAGTGCAAGTTTGGGCAATGTTCTCTTCACCACAGTGTGTTTCACAGGCATAAACCCAATTTGGGAGGTTCCCAAAGGCCCAACATACGGTTCCAACTTTCAGCTGGTGGCAAATACTGGCAGAAGGTGGCAATATGAGGCTTGAGCATACCGGACCCCATTTTGTTGATACTTACAATGTGTTGTAATATGTCTGGATTTGTTGAAGGATGTTAATTATGTATTTTATATTTCCCCAATGGAAAATATATTCTGGGGGGACCCCCTGATTCCCAGCATCCATTTTGGCGGTTTTTTGGAGCAACGAGGCGCCACATTTCTTCCTTGTTGGAGGACATCTATGCACAGTACCGTGACTTCCAGCAAACTGAAGGCGGGGAAGGCAGGACATTGGGAGATGAGGTTATCAGAGGTCATTTTTTATAGGGAAACCCAGGGTTTGGGGTAGCCACCTCGATTTTAGGATATGTACTTCTAAGATGGGACTCTAAAATGAAGATCAAGAACCGAAGAATATGTCCTGAGGGATGTGTATCGTGTCTTCCGTTTCTTGAGTTCTCAAATTAGATTTTTCATCAAACTAGTACCCGTATGGGCCGTATGGGTCAGAGTGTTTGTTAATTTTATGAACCGATTTCCCCATTTCTGTTCATGAAATAGGACACAGCCTATCTGGAATGGTCCCATGCTCCAAAGACATGCCTTGGACCACAGGAATGAACCAAGTAGATCCAAGTAGGGTTTAGGGTAGATGGGGGGGTTGATGAATTCATTTTGCTAGCCATAATTTTATATCAATGGTGGAGAGTTCATAGATTTTCAATCATTTGAACCATACGCTATCCATAAACAACCCATCTTTGAGCCGGATCCAATCTGCTTTTCGAGCCAATCACCTGGTGCCCAGGACTAACCACTGATTGCTGCCCTCGTATTGTTCTGGGTGAATTGTATTATATACTGTATATATAATATAATATGATGTATTAATTTGTATTACAGTAATATGTATATATATAATATTATAATAACAATATCAATAACAATAACAATAATAATAATATTATGATGATGATGATTATGATGATGATGACTCACTAGAAATGATTCGCAACCGCCCCATCTCATATCATCTCATGGTCCGATTTCAGCTTCACAAGCCAGATACCGCTTTTGCAACGCCATATACGGAGGTTTTCCTAAAATGGGGGTACCCTCACATCATCCCTATTACTGTAATAGATCTTTCATTATAAACCATCCATTGTGGGGTAGCCCCCATTTATGGAAACCTCCAAACCTGTGTGTGTCTGAGAATGGACAGTTGTGATTGACACAAGCATAGAAGCTATGAGCGGCCGTACTCCTGGAGTGTCCCATCCTCAGACACTAAGTTCTATAATTAGTTCATGAGTCATGAAAAAGCATTTCAACATGTCACAACTTCCTGATTGCCATTGGCCAGAATCTGGGCTACCCACAGTCAATGTCCCTGGAAATGATTAATTTTATCTATATACCTTTTTAAGTAGTGACAATGCACCCCATAGCCATGATAAACTGAGATCAACTGAGTCAAATCGGTATTTTCTGAGTTTCCCTTTCCCACAATGAAAACAGAGGAGCCATGATTATCGCCATGATTATCCTTGACCGCAGGATGTAAAGCCACGACCCCGCGCTTGAACTTGCACGAGGGCCCCCGACCCGGAAGTTTCTGAATGCGCCTGGCAGTCCCCGAGTGTAACTCGCACAACTCCCAAAGTCCGCTTCCGGAACGGAGGCAACTGATCGAGTAAAGGGAACAATATCGAAGAACACAGGTAAGTTTAGAAGAACATCTCTATTTGGGTTTGATGGTTTTGAGGTGATCAAAGTGCTGTTGAAAAACCATATATTTCTTCAGATCCACTTCTTTGCGCATTCCACTTGTTTCGCGAACAGGTGCGAGGTCGCTCTATGGCCCTATAGGTTTGTTCCAAACATGGGGTACCACAATGCATTAAAAGTGTTGAAAAAGATGGGACTCTTATTTTACTTGACAGTTTCAATCACTACTTGGTGGCTCATCCCACTTAGTAAGTGGGTTATAACCCCAGTTATAAATGGGATAAGTAGGGTTAATCCACTTATAACTGGGGTTATAACCCACTTGCTAAGTGGGATGAGCCACCAAGTAGTCACTTTATCATCATGTTCTCATCCAAACTCTAAACATTCTTGGGGGATCCAAACCTGACATTATATAGATCCTGAAGCTCTGGCTTCGCGGACTCGATGGTTCTGGAGCTTCCATAAATGGTTTATTTTTTTTAATGGGGATCTTCAAAATGGATGGTTTAGAATTGAAAATCCTATTAAAATGGAATTGATTTCTATTAAAAAAATGGTACATAAATGGTTCTATCATCCATAAAATGGTTTCCTATTAAAAAATGGATTGAAAATCCTATTAACATTGATGATTTCTGTTTGATTTCCACTAGGAAACCTCCAGGAATGAACTTCTGTTTGCCTAGAAATGGAGGCAGTTCCCTGACCGGTGGCTCGGTCCAACTAGCCAGGAGGTCCATCCAATGGATGATATACAAACTGGCCATCAATATTGGATGGGATAATTGATGATAGTTGGATATAATAGCCATGGAAAATCACCATGTTTAATAGGTAAACCATCTATAAATGGACCATTTTCCATGGCTATGTTAAATAACCAGAGGGTAATTGTTTTTTTAAATCATAGCAGAATGAATAAATGATGTTGCCCGGATGCCGTTCAGAAAACATCCCAAAGTTGCAGAAACAACTCGACTTGTCGCGTCGAGTCGGCGTAGTGCACGGGGGAAGCACTGGGGACTGCCGAGGGATCCTTTAGGGCGCACCTCACAGAAGCGCAACGCAGATGGTTTTTCAATCGATCTGAGACATAGACTTTTGCTGCTTTAGCAGTGACCCAGTTGCACTTGGAGATGGGAGGCTGAGTGTTTTTTCTTTCTTCGATAACCGGGTGCTTGGGACAAGGGAGGAACCATCTTTGCCCCTAAAAAACAACGTCTCAGGAAACCCCAAAACTGGGAATTGACCATGCTGTTCTGATCCTGGAAATTGTCATTTGTAGGCGTTGGGCTGATTTTGGGGTTTGTCCCGCAAAAAAATCGTGCCCGACATTCCTCACCATCATGCCCTACAAGAATAGACGGATCAGCAACTTTTATGCTTTGGGACAAATTGAACACAATTGTGGCAATGGACAATCCCCAAACATTAAATATTCCCCATTTTTTTACATGAATTTCCCACCGAAACCTCCATTTATGGGGAATTTCCAGTTAATTAGCCACGTTCGACAAAGGAGGGTACCATCATCTGCCAGTGAGAAAACATGACAATAACAGGACATTGGGCAGTTTCGCTCTGGGATGTCTATGGAATTGGGGAGAATGGAGCCTCACTGACCTGCCATGAATCTTTGGGACGAGTACATTATTGGTGTGATTTATTATTCTGTGCAATATATAATGATAATTATAAATAATTATAATATATATTCATGTTTAATATATTATTATTATGTCAATACTTGTACAGTACATTATATATATAAATGGTCTACACCAGCCTAGAGCCTTGGACATGTTTAACGAATGTCAGGACCCCCCCCAAAAATCCCCGTCCCCAAGAGGTCACGGATATAAATCACCAGAGAAAATGTGCAAAATACATCCAATGACTGGTTGGTGGTTTGGAACATGATTTTTATTTTCCATTTCATATATGGGATGTCATCCGAAACCCATTGAAGAACTCATATTTTTCAAGATGGTTATTGCACCACCAACCAGATGATATATACTTTGTTTTTAGTGATTAGATTCAATGTGATTGAATTGGATTATGGCACATATATATATATTACATCACTAGATAAAATTGGATTCAATGCGTACTTTTAACTATACTGCGATCAACGTTGTTTAAAATAGATCGCAAGACGCCGTGACAACGTTTAGTCAGAAAAGCTTTCCAATGTGGAGCATGGTTTTGGCAGATCTGACATCAATCACTGCGACTAAGGTTCCCGAATACGAGTTGATTGGCTGAGCGCTTTTGCAATTTTTCGGCCGAAGTTTGGGTATCTCACCTGCTTGGAAACAGAGAAGCACAAGATGTCATGGTAAGATAATGTCAAATATTGTTCTTTATCTATCAGATGTCAGAAATACAATATGTATAAACTCATATACACACATATCTACACTGAAAAAACTCATGAAATCTCTGTCCACACATATATATACATAATATATATATACATATATATATACATATATATATATTATTACATTATATACACATAATACTCCGGGATGAGAATGGATGGCATAGATTCTATAGCTTTCCCAACACGTGTGATATCACAAGGGGCTCACAAGGGGCTGATTTCCTTTATTGTTTTGTATTAAGATCGCATTTTTTTAAAATCCTGACTTTGGATGGCGCCATCCCCTAGGTTCTTAACATTTCCACACTACTGTTTTGGATTTCCAAGATTTATTCTATCCGCTGGTTAAGAGGGAACCCAGGAGCCATGGGCTGGGCATCCTTTGCACGGAAAAAAGATGAAACAGTAGCAGGCCTTGATTTTTTTTTGAGAGAGGGATGCCACCAGGGCCTCATGTTTACAGTGTTGTGTGATGTTTTTGCCAGCGGGGGGAAAACCGCGCGTGTAGTCGTGCAGATTTTGTTGATTGTTGTATTTTTCTCTGGGGTGGGGGGGTGGGGGTGTAAAAACGTCAATGTTGACACCTTCTTGATCCTTGCGTTTGTAATATTCTGTGTGTTTGCTGCAACGCTTTGAACTCTTTCATATTACATATCAGACTTTCTTGTTGCTACGCTTTGAATTCTTTCATATAACATCTAAGACGCTCTTGTTGCTACGCTTTGAACTCTTTCATAAAACATCTAAGACTTTCTTGCTGCTACGCTTTGAACTCTTTCATAAAACATCTAAGACTTTCTTGCTGCTACGCTTTGAACTCTTTCATATAACATCTAAGACGCTCTTGCTGCCACGCTTTGAAATGTTTTATTTAGAACAACTAAGACTTTCTTGTTGCTACGCTGTGAAACTCTTTCATAAAACATCCCAGACTTTCTTGCTGCTACGCTTTGAACTCGTTCATACAACATCTAAGACGCTCTTGCCGCTACGCTTTGAACTCTTTCATACAACATCTCAGACTTTCTTGTTGCTACGCTTTGAATTCTTTCATATTACATATCAGACTTTCTTGTTGCTACGCTTTGAACTCTTTCATATTACATATCAGACTTTCTTGTTGCTACGCTTTGAATTCTTTCATATAACATCTAAGACTTTCTTGCTGCTACGCTTTGAACTCTTTCATATAACATCTAAGACGCTCTTGCTGCTACGCTTTGAACTCTTTCATATAACATCTCAGACTTTCTTGTTGCTACGCTTTGAATTCTTTCATATAACATCTAAGACAATGCAGGCAAAAAGACATGTCTTGTGTCAGATGGCGCACCATGCTACCCAAAGTTGTCTCGAGAAACCAAAGTACTTCACTATTCTTGTAACTACAGTAAGGGTATCTTCTGCTTGAAGAAAAGGAGACGAGATGGTAGCACGCTGTTGGTGCACACTAGTAGCATTGATGGGATGTGGAAGCTTGCAAAGCAAGCTATCCATAACAGTTTGAACACACGCATCAATGGCTCAGTCAACCCAAAGCTGTTGCAAGGAGTAAGAGTTTTCCAGTGGCGATGGTCACGCCTTGAGCAAAAGACTGCGGAGCTGATGAATGATAAAAAAACGTCGCGCTCTGAACACATTTTCCCCTGTAAAAACCAATGCATCATTAAAATGCACTTTGAAAATCCCCGGGATTTTTGAACAGTTATCTGATCATAAAATTGCTACGGGGCCACAGCGCCAGCCACATAGAATTGCAAAAATTGAACAACCGCTAGCGCGGTTTTCCCCCCGGCGGGATGTTTTTGTGTGATAATTTATGCTTATTTATACTCATGGCCCATAGCTTTTTGTCCTTGATTGTTCCTTTGTTTAATGTTGCTTTGTTTCTGTTGCATTGCTACATTAGGTTCTGGAAAGTTCATGTAGAATAGCATAGTAGGGGTGGAGATATTGGCCCATAGAGCCAATATCCTTGGCTCTACACTGCTTATTCTTTTGCAAAGCAGAATAACAAAAAAAAATATATATAAATAGACCCATGGCAAATAGCAAATTCAATCTCTGTATCTTCACATGAACATGTAACATGTATATATACACAGTTGTGTTACAATACCCAAGAACGATTATTGACATAAGCTAAGCAAATCTCTATGTTAAACAAGTGCCCGTTTTGACATCACCATGTAAATTTGTTCATGCAACTGTCTCACTATTGCTTAGATTTGGTGGTTTCTACCAAAGAAAACTAAAATACAGCCTTGCAACATCATGGGAAATGCAGGCAGTTGTAGTTGCAGAGGTTATCAAAGGAAGCTTGAAGGTCGAACTTCCGTGTAACGGATTTTTAAAAATCACAACCACCACTATCACAATATCACCACTATCACAATATCACCGCTATCACAATATCACCACTATCACAATTTCACTACTATCACAATTTCACCAATATCCCAATATCACCACTATCGCCACCACCATCATCACAATCACCATTATCACACACATCACCACTATCACGATATCACCACCATCACAATCACCATTATGACAACCACCATTATCAAGGAAGTCTCCCACGAATGCTTCGTTTTCACATCTTCAACTTTCACTTTTTGAGGGATGTCTCGCACGAAAGCTTTGTTTTCACATCTTCAACTTTCACTTTTGGAGAGATGTCTCGCACGAAAGCTTCGTTTTCACATCTTCAACTTTCACTTTTTGAGGGAAGTCTCGCGCGAAAGCTTCGTTTTCACATCTTCCACTTTCACTTTTTGAGGGAAGTCTCGGACAAAATGTGTTTTTGAAAGTTAGCGGATGCACGAAATGCTGTGTTTTGCAGGACAAAACGTGTCCCGGAATATGGATGGGGAAGCTTGTCCGGCGGGCGGGTCCCGGACGGTCTCGGCCGCGCCCGGGCAATTTTTGGATCGGCCCCGGAGTGGAACTGACAGTTCAGGCGTCATTTTCACAATCTCAACTTTCGAAAATTGAGGGACGGCTTCGTTTTTGCATCTTCAACTTTCAGATTTGAAGGACGTCTCGCACGAAAGCTTCGTTTTCCCATCGTCTACTTTCACTTTTGGAGAGAAGTCTCGCACGAAAGCTTCGTTTTCGCAGTTTCTACTGCCATCGACAAGTTCACTGTGTTTGGACACTGCTATGCTGGGAAATGATTGGAAAACAAACTGCCTCTGCACTTTCCGGTTGAGAAAAGTAAACCAATTCTTTAATATTTTTCGCAACCAGTGAAATGCCAACATCATATATATATATATATAGCAATATATAATTTAACTATTTGTATAATTATATATATTTATATTTATATTTATTTTATTTTTTATTTTTTGGAACCTCCTTGGGATCAAGCCCTATATAATCAATCATATTTGGTTTTTGCAAAAAACAAAGGATGTTTTTTTGGTGCCCAATGAGAAAGCTAGACAGCAAACACATTTATGTAATGCGGTTTTTTCAACAAACCTCAAAACACCGCATTTTCAGAAACGTGGTAAATTAGGGCGCTGCTGGCGTCCTTTTCTGTTTTTTTTGGGGGCAGCGGCAGCTCTCGGTACCATTCGTAACGCAGGGAAAGCACAACTGGGGGAGAGGGTATTTATTTACGTATGTAATGTGATTTGTAATGTGATTTGTAATGTATGGAATGTATGCAGCGTATGTACTGCATGTATGCAATAATATGTATGTTTAGATAGATAGACTGATAGATTGATAGGTTCACAAAGTCAACTTGTACTAGCCTTTGAGATCCCCAAACCCCGGACCAAAAGTGTGGTGCGTTGCGGCCTCGCTGCCTCGCTTTTCGAACAGATCGCGAGTTGCGTGGAAAACATCATGGCCCCATTCCGGAAGTTCCTGGTGCAAATGGTGTGGAGACTGCCAGGCCACTTTGCAGATTTGCCACAGAAGTGTTCAAACTGGATGTCAATATCAGTGAATAAGCCATTGCGCAGTTAATTTCTGAAATTACATGTTTACAAATGTACAATTACAATCAATAATTACATCAAAAAAACAACAGATCTGTGTTTGGGAGGTTAACTTATGCAATTTCATAGCCATACCAGTCAAAGTTGAGAACCTCGAAATTTTATGCGCCGTCGAACACTCAAATGATTTGAATCGATGGTGGTATAATATGCCCATTGTTACTGGAATTGCATAGCCATAAACCATGATACTTGGTATACAGTAAAAACCAATAAACCTCTGCAATCAACCATTAATGTAGATATGTATAGCTGTATAGCCGTTAATAAAGGTAGGATCACCAGAAACCATGTACCATTTTTCGACCATGACATATACTCGCTTCTCCAGATTTACATTTGTTTCACTAAATCAACTGCAGGTATTTTTTCAGTTTCGATGCGAACGACAACAGTAATCACCCCTTATCTTGGACACAAAAATTGATTGACCACGAAATACGCATTCCCCAGATTTGGAGACTTTGCAAGAGATGCTGATTTTTACCTAATGACATAGTTTTACATATCATATCTCTGGAATCCGGGTAAACCTCCGTTGGGTAAATGGGTTATAGGTGGGGGAAGATGGTTTCAGAAGTGATGCCAACCATGTCAAGTTGGCGTCTTTACATTGAGACTGGTGGTTTCACTGTGAAAAAGGAAACTGGCTGATGGTTTCAGGGATATGTAATATCAACATATTATCGAAGGAAGTTTAGAAGTCAAACTTCCGACAATATGGACAGATGAAAAGCAGAGATGGGAAGAGCCAGCGAAGAGAAGGGAAGAAGAAAGAAGATCAAAAAAGAGAAAGTCTCAGAAGAAAGAAGATCCAGGTGCGCGAGTAGGTAGGAAAGTCGCGAAACACTGTGTTTTTCCAATGATTTGTGGCTCCGCAAGGGTCGAAAAGTAGGCTCGCTAAAGCGGCGGGTGCGGAGCCCGCTGGGCAGATGAGAGATGAAAAGTTGCACGACGTGGCACGAAGCACATTTCCAAGTCATAATGTACAAAACACACCAGGTCCGGACCACTTTTGGAAGTTGAGTTGAGATGTCGAAAAAGTGCACGCCGTTGTGGCGCGAAGCACGTTTCCAAGTCAAAATGTACAAAACACCTCAGCTTCGGAGCACGTTTAGAAGTTGAGTTGTCGAAAAAGTGCATGCCGTTGTGGCGCGAAGCACATTTCGAAGTCAAAAGTGTAAAAAACTGTGGGGTACGCAGCGTTTTCAGGGAGCTGAATTGGAGCTCCGGGCTTACATCGATACTCCACTTGGAGGCTACGCTCCGGAGAAGTGGTTCCGCTGGATTCAGCAGTGCAGAGACGGCATTTATCAGGACAGCTCCGACAGCCCAGCCTGGGATGAGAAGGTGACAGAGGAGTTGGGAACCCAGGCAATCCTTGACATTGCGGAACTGACCAGGCATGGTTTTACCCGCAATTGTCCAGTCGACGGGCCTTCTTCTGCCACATCGACCTGAGGAAGTAGTGGCTCAGAACCGCCGCCCCGCGGACATCTTCCTGCCCAGTCTCCACGGTACACCTGCTGCCCTTGACCTGGCCATCATGGCCCCACAGCGGCAGGATATCGTGGCGCAGGCAGCAGGGGCAGCCCTCGCGGCGGCCTCGGCCTATGCGGCCACCAAAGCCTCACTTGAACACTGCCCACCTCTGCGGCCAGCAAGGGTGCGCTTTGTTCCCATTGTGGCCGAGTCGACAGGAGCTTGGGACCGTGAAGCTGGACAGATCCTCTTGCAGATAGCTTGCAGTGCCGCTGCTCGAACCGGTGATGCAGCTTCGACATCAGTGCTTATCCCACGTTCAGCCCCATTTGGCTATGACCTGGAGGAGGAAGACGCAGCTGGCATTGAGTCGGCAGTTGCTGGGCTCGTGCGAGCCATGGTGGACCCAAACCGGTCTGCTAGTTCTTGACTAGCTCTGGAAAGGCAGCCAGGTGATCTTGATGGCAAAGGGCCTCATCGGGTTCATTTGGGAATATTCCGCTGAGCGGAGCGCTGCTAAACTGAGCGGCATCCTGAATCGGATCGGTCAAGGTCCAAGTGACAAAGTTCACTGGCATGTCGGATGTCTGCCGGGTGCTGGCACAGCTCGAAGGTACAAAGTGCCCCTCGAATTTGCTGCTGAATCCTGTTTTGGGAAGTCACCCACAAGTTCGCGCAATTTTCGGTTTCACTTTTTCTCTGGTGCCAGAACATGTGGTACAGTTTTCACCTTTTGTGGCCTTCACCGTTGTTCGGATGATAGAGAGCTGGTGGAGATTTTGCATGAGATTGGTAGCTGGGCCATCAGGCATGGAGAAGCTTTGGTCATAGGGGCATAAGGGGGGGGGGGTCTGTGGACCGGGGGCAACTGTCGAGGTCAGTTTGAGTAGGATCTGAGTTGCTATGTTCACTCAAAATCCACTCAAATCCTACTCAAAATCCACTCAAATCCTACTCAAACCATAAAAACGATAGATTGAGGTGGTTTTGAGTAAGCACTCTTGCCTCAACCGGACCCCAAACCGTAAAAAACCTCAACCGTAACTAAAAGAAAAAAACGAACCTCAACTGAGGCTCAGCGTAGGCTCAGCCCACACTCAGCTGCGGCTTAACTGGTACTCAACGTATACTCAACTGATACTCAAACGTATATCACTGACTCAACCGTACCTCAGCCACACCTCAACCGTACCTCAAAGCCATTTTCTCAACACTTGCCCACGGCCAACTGCCCCCCCCTAACCATTCTATGATTTGGTGCCGTTTGCACGCAGGTGGCTTGTTGGCTGGGATACAATTTTGGGACACGTCCCTGAGCTCACTCCCGTTGAGCTACAAGCGGAAGGTGAGCAGTGGTTTGGTGGAACTCTGCCTCCTGGCATGACCCCTGAGGGGCATACCGCCTGCCACGGAACATTTATCTTTGCAGATCCTCGTCAAATGTCCCACGCCTGCCATCGTTTTTGGACATGCTACAAAACCCTCACGTTTTATCACGTTTTGCTCACTTTTGACAAGGTGCACAATCCCTTGCGAAACCACATCTGAACGTCCAAAAACCCTGAGGCAGCACAGTGGCACTCAACCTGCGAGCCTTCCATTCCTCATTCTTGTTGAATAGAAGGTAGCCAAGCCTCCTCTCTTTCAAGTCCCATTCCAGCTGGTGCTGTGCAAAGCGCTGGAAGGACATGGGGTCAGCCAGCGATGCAGACACCTTCGTGGACCTGGTCCCAGCGAGCTTGCCGCCCCCTTCGGATGAGGCTGCTGTCGTCACAACGCTGGGCCAACTCCACAGCTCCGCGTACGGAGCCTTCTTCTTGAACTGTGGCACGTGCGAGGCCAGTCTTCCTGCTAAATCTTGCCTACCAAGCTGGTCCCAAGTCCGAAAGCGGTAGGTAGGTAGATAGACAGATAGACAGATAGACAACTACAACTACCATTGCGCTACACAACTGCTACAACTACAAATACAAATATACTACGCTACATTACACTACACTTATTACACCACACTAGATTAATTACATCTATATAAATACACTACGCTACACCAATTACACCAACAACAACAACAACAACAACTACTACCACAACTACAACTACATTTACAACTGCGCTGCACTACGCTACACTAATCACACTGCAGCACACTACAACTACAAATACAACTACAACTACAACCACTCTACATTACACAGCACTACACTACACTGATTACATGGTATTACGCTACAGCTACAACTGCAGCTGCAGTTGTAACTGCAACTATAACTACCACTACAGTACTACACTACACATACTACACTACACTACACTGCATTACACTACACTACACTACATTGCACTACACTACACTACACTACGCTACGCTACGCTACGCTACACTACACTGCACTCATTACACTGCAGAACGCTACAACTACTACACACTACCCTACACTAGGCTACACTACACTATACCACACTACACTACACAACACTACATTGCATTACATTACACTACGGCTACAACTCCAACTGCAACTACAACTAGAATACGCTAGACTGCGCTGCACTACACTAACTACACTGCACTGCGACTACAACTACACTACTTTACAATACACTACGCTAGACTACACTACACCATACCACACTACAGCACACAAGACTGCAACACACTACACGACACCACTAATTACACCACACCACAACTGCAACTGCAACTACACGACACTAATTACACTACATCACTACTACAGCTCCGCTACACTACACTACAACTACAACTACAACTGCACTACACCACACTACATCCAGCAGTTGTGATGAGGTGATCACTGCAACCATTGCAACCACTCCAAAAACACAACTCCAACCACCTTTCGGTCCATCAGTGGATTCGCTCTGCCATCCATGATTCACAGCAACTTTCCTCTCCTATAGGTTTCTTATTTTTGAAGCTTCCGCCACCGCCTTGTGCGGTACTACTGGTAGACTACTTTGCTTTCAATGATACTGGGCGACGCTTTCCAATACCTGTTTGATCCTTTTTGCGCTTGGCGCCGCTGAACTTACAAATCAGGTTTTGTTGTTTCACATTTGACACGATGAATGGTTACACAACGCCTTTTTGTTACTCTGCATTTCCACTTCGAAAAATCATCAACATGGTGGATTCCCTGGTTTTTATGTTTGCCGTGAATTTACATAGAAATCACATCTAGCTACATCCTGCCATGTTCGAAGATGTTTCCAGCAGAGTATCTGAGATTCAGCAAGAAAACCACCTGCGACCTGACGTGTCTTTAACTTTGTTTAAATCTTCCAAGAGTTTCCATTGCCAGACCCAGGAGGGGCTTGCTAAGGGATTGTACAGACTTAGACGCGCTCCCAGTTACTGCCGACCTTGCACAAACCTCAGAGGCGTCTCACGCCGCGAAAATGTCGGCGCCATGCGGATGGGCACTGCGTTTTGTGGACACTGTCGCCATGTAGAAATTCGAATCATGGGGGATCCACAAGGATATCATCATCCCATCATCCCTAATCGTAAATTTATTGTCGGGTATACGCTATGCCCCTACATGGGATGATTCAGGATGATTTGGGATAACCCCCAAGGCGTTGATATTAAGGGTGGTCATTTTGGTCCAGTCCACATTTAAGTTGGAATCACTTTGTTGAAATCCCTTTGGAATCAACACGTTTTTCAAAAAATCCTCTGAATTCGGTGGTTGGTTGTGAAAAAAACATGGTTTCGCTGCAGATTTTTCCGTGTCCTCATTCGCGGGCTGGGGTTGTGGGATCGTTGGGATCACCATGGTGCAACTCATGTGGTAAACCCAATAATGAACCCCCATTTTCGGATGGTTTGTACCCGTGCCAAGATTAGGGATGGTTTGGGTTTACCATGGTTTACCACATTAGAAATGTGAAATGTGAAATTGAAGGATTTCGATGGATGTTGTCAATGAGTGTTTTATTGATGTTCATTGCTTTTCCATCCCTATGTGAGATGCTTTATTGCATCAGTTTGCATCCTCATTTCCGAGTACTCCAGGACAGTAGCATGGCAAGTAGCATGGCAAAGGCGAAATCAGCATTGTCAAATGGATCCAGACGGACACATCATCTACATGTAGGTTATCTTCCGTGCCAGGTGAAAGGAATTGAAAGGACTTGTGAATCTATGAGAATCTAGCAATTTCATCCAGTTTACCCAACTGCTCCATTTCCAGATACTCATGAACATTTATCAACATTTATCCCAACAAACCCTTGCCATTTTCATCATTCCAAAGATCTATCTGACAGGTCCACCTTCCGCACTTCCACTTCCAGCGCGATGCCGGAGAGCCCATGATTTTGATCGTTCGAATCAGTCGATTTTCATCATGGTTCTTCCATTATTTTCAATTTTCAATATTAGTTGCAGACATGGAATTTCATGGAATGAACGTTAGTACAGTAGATGTTATTAGTATTTTGCTGTGAACAGAATGGTATGGTGGCTGAAACTATCCGAGCCAGCTCCGGACATGGGATACCCATGGATATCCCATCATCAAAGCCCATCATTTGTAGATCATTGTCCAAGGGAAACGCAGTGGGTTTTCCATAGCAAAATTAAACGAAACTGGGCCGCCATGCTGTCACAGTCTATGAGTTGAATTTGCCGAATAGCCCGGTTCACTGAGTCATTGGGTACTGCTATGGGGACAAGGTTACCTGTTTTTCATCCTGTATTCCTACACCAATGATCATCAATGATCTTGAAGTTTGTTGACCTACCTTCTGTCTCACTGGACTATTTGACCATTACAATCAGCTGTCGGAATTTATGTGTACCTCACCATGGGTTCAAGCCTCCATTTTTTCCGGGTCGCCTCTCCGAGGAATATGGGCATGCCAACAATGAAGGCCCCCGGAAACGAAAGTGGCAAGCCCAGGAAGCCCATCCGCGGCCGACTGAAGACCCTTGGAAGGACCCGATGGAGGATTGAGGTTGAGCCATGATTCGCATCAAATATGGATTGTTTTTTGATTCGGCCGTCCTGGGATTTTCAGAAACTCCACCAGGTGATCATCCAAGACAAAAAAAAGTCGCCAAAACTCATTGAGTTGGTTCATGAGGGGCGTTCCCAATCCTTTGAGTCTTCCATAGATTGGTGTCACCCATACATGGTCCAGTTGTCTCCAAGTTTTAACTACATATATGGCCCGTATAGTCCTGCTTTATTTTATTTTTTAATTCCCAGTGGACAATCCACCATGACTGTAATCCAAAGAGGGTCTTTGGGATCCCTTAAGCATTCGGTGAGGGGGGGAATGAGTGGTGACTCCAGAGGTGATAATCCTGATGCTCCATGTATACCCAGGATGGTTCATATGTATCGGCGATTTTTAGTACATCGAACTAGAATCCGTATTTGCAATTTTACTATATTTTACCAATATAATAAAGTATAATACTGTACATATATTAACATACCGGATACAGTAGCTAGCTTCAAGGTTTACCCACATGAGCTGATCACTGCTGGAGCCCAAAAACAGGACACCGATTGGCGCGATGGACGCGACGACTGGTTCGATGGCCGTCCACAGGCGGACGGGACGCTGAAAAAACTCTGTGTGAAATTGGGAGATTACCCGAAATGATCATTTATACATAGGATGATCATCTAATGGATATACCTTAAATTATCTAATGGATGTCCAATGGATATCCAATGATACTCATTTATAAATAGGATAATATCATTTATTAGCATTTTAAGGATAATCTAATGGAGCCAATTTTCAGAGCCAAGTGGTCCTTTTGGCTTCAGCGCTGGGGTTTTGTAGGTTCATTGTCATTGGTTGAAATATGGCACATCCTACACATGCCACTGATAGAATCACCCAATAAATGGAGGACATCAGTGACCATTTACTGGCAGAATACTCAAATGAACAGTGCACACAGCGACGTACCACTTGCACAAGCATCAGGTGTTGGTGTAGCAAGTGCTTTGTCTTGACAGTACTTGCAAGCCCTCAAAGTTCCTTGCTACAACCAAGTTTGTCTGAGAATGGGAATACGCATAAATTGCCATCATATTACATACGTAATTATACATGTATGTATACATATATATATACATATATATATATATATATACATATGCATTATATATACACAATGGAAAATCATTATTAACCATCAAAGTCGTTTTTTAACAGATACACATAATATTAGAACATGCAACTGCTGCCGGTCACAACTGGTACTTCCTCAGCAGCTCTGTACGCTGAATATCCATGGGTTGTCGTTGGTTTTATTATTTGCAATATTCATGAGCCCAAACTTTCAAAGGGTAGTCACCTTTTTGGGGTTCTCCAGGTATATCCCATGATTTTGCCATTCTTCTCGCTTTCATATCACCCATTTTGTTGGTTCAAAACTTAGAGTTTAGAAAACTCCAAGTTCGACCATCCCTGAAGTTATTGATACGTGAACAGTGGCTTCTAAACCCGTGCTGGTTGAAGATCATACAGTATGGATTATACTCGTACTACTTTTTTTTTTGGATTGTCATAATCCAGTATTGGAATACCTATAGACAGGATTAAACAGGCAGTACAATAAAGGGACAACAGAGGCTTTTTGAACACTGCTCAATGGACACACATGGTTTGTGAGTGGATAGAACCTGTAAACCACTTGCAACTTGGGTGGTTCTTAGGTTTGAATCATTCACTGCAAAATTTATGGGGTTGTCTCATAGTTGTGTACCCCGTTCCATCCCATGGCTGGTCATTAACATGTCCAAACACATTAAAATGTCAACCCTGGATTAATAAACCCCTAGGCTGTTTAATTGGGAGGCTACCATTTAAGTACCATATTATGACTATTGGAGGAGTACCCCCCTAATTAATAAACCAGGGTTTATTAATCCGGGGTTTCCAATATCCAACCTGTTTGGACAAATCCACTGTTTGGGTCTCCAAGAAAATGGAGTATCAAAAAATCCACTGTTTGATCATTTCATTTCCTCATATTTTCCCATTGACAATTGCCAGAACAACATGGATGCCCTGGCACCCTTTGCGTAGGTCCGCAACTGGGAAGAAGACTGGTCTGTGACCCCAGAAGCCGGGAAAACCGAGTCAAAATCCTCGAAATCAGAGGGATGACCCCCCACCAAAAGTGGTTTTATCATGTTTCTTTAAGGGAGAAATACGACAAGGTCAGGTTTTTATTTGGTTTCTATGACACTAAAGACATTAGTTGGTGTTGATGGGATGCGGAATTTGATATGTTGATACACATACATATACATACACGCTGTACAATATCTTACAATTACCATGTTTAGTGTTATATATGTATATACTACACCTGCCATAGATTTACATCCACACTTTCTATATAAACGCATAAGTCCACATGGAAACAACGGTGTGTTTCTCCGTGCTGAGGGAAGGGCCTCCTTCAGAACGTCCCGCGGGGATGAAGGTGCTCGGATCCAATCATGTGGAAATTCCATTTGATGGTCACCATCCAATGATTTGGGTTTTAAAATGCTATAAAATGATATAGTTAAGCATGGAGAGTGACGAATCATTTTCGCGGACACTTTTGATGTTTTTTGGAGTCTTTCAAGGCAATCACAGGAAAACAATGAGTTTTGCAGATCATTGTAATGTCCAATGCAAAACGATTCAATGCACATGGTGCAGTAGCCTTCGTTCGAACACTTGTGTTTGAGACGATAGCTGGCTTCAGGGTGTTTCTTTAAGTGTGGGAAACCAAACTCAATAAACCTACCAGGTATAGGGATGATGGTTTCTAGCACCCATCATTGGGTGATTTTGGGGATGATTTACTATTGGCTTTAACCATTTGTGCCCCAATTTTCGATTCTCCACCTGGCTGATGCCCTTGATCGCCTTGACCGATTTTCAGCGATGCTCCCTTGATGCTCGCGTAGCCTCCAGTAATTTTACAAGCATCATATTGCTATGGTATCGCCATGGTTTCCTCAAAGCATCCAGTGGTTTCCGATTGGATAGCTGTGATTGGTGATTTGGTGATGAAACAATCAAAGACCATTCGAGCATTTGTCATGCAATATCATGCAATCAACCAAAAAAGGGGTTGTGAGACACAAGGACATTTTGATAGTTTATATTAGTTTATATTAGTTTTATATATATATATATAATATAGAGATTCTAATTTCCTTATACATAGCCATTTTGGAGGTATCCCCCATTTGCAGACACACCCATATATAACCAACACCTTCTTCGACCATCTTCGGCTCGCATAGCCATAACCGTCCCTCCAGATGTCCGGCGGCATCTTCGCACGCGCGATGGCGCGGAAACCTGGTGCTCCATGGTGCTCCTTATATACCCTCTGGTAAACGTACGAAAAACTATGGAAAATCACCATTTTAAATGGGAAACTCAACTATTTCGACTGGGCCATTTTCAATAGCTATGTTAGTTTACCAGAGGGTATATGTATGGTATATGGTATCTCTAGAACCATGACTGGTTGAAATTCCAAATCAGCAGGAAGCGGGAATGGGTAGAAATTGGGATCTGCCAGCGTCAGACATGGGGATAGATATATAAATTATGTCTTGAAGCCAAATTTAAACTGCCCCCCATTCAGTTGAGCAGAAATGGGTAGGCTTTTTGGAAACCAACCCGTAAGCTGTGTGGTCAAGATGAGTTTCTGAAATAATTCTAAATTGGTTCAGGTTCCGCTTGGGCCCAGCAACTCTCTAGGACTCTAGGCGGTTCTTTTGAAAGGCTGGTGAAATTTCATTGCATTGGACATGGATGATGTTGTCTCATGGTTTCCGCGTTCAGCGCCTGAAAGACAATGCAAGTATTTGTGAGGTGGGTTTAAAATGACTAAGCCACCGTTGGTTTCAAGGGGCTACTGGGAGCTGTGTGATCGCAAACAGGTGACCCCACATATTTTTTGCGCATATTTTTAAATATAATTGTTAATATTTAATATGATTAAATTAATGTACATATATACATATATCTTTACATGTGTTCACATACGCTTACATCTGCTTAACTCAAAAAAAGTCCTTCGTTGGGTCAGACGTCACTCACAAGGGTCAGACATTTTCGACGCAGGGCGCCATTGTGCGCAAGGATGAGGACGATGGAAGGTGGGCGCCATGGGGTTTCCATCAATGGGGGATACCCTCTGGTAAACGTACAAAAAACCATGGAAAATCACCATTTTTAATGGGAAAATCAAATATTTCGACTGGGCCATTTTCAATAGCTATGTTAGTTTACCAGAGGGTACCCCAAAAGCTGTATGGTTGTTTAGTTCATGGAAAATCCTATTTTATCATGTATGATGAAATGGGGTAGCCCGATGACTTAGGAAACCTCCATTTTTTGAAATGATAAGGGTGATGGTGATAACATTTAAAACCCCATAGTTTGTTGGGATATAATATCACCACTTAGTATTCCAATGGATTACTATGCGACTATTAGATACTAACGCCACTCATGAAAATATTACAGTACTTACCGATGACTGATATAATCCACCATGGTTTCGTTCAACCCCAAGCTGGGATGGCGGCACTTTTGTTTGGGCCTTGGATGTACAGCAACTGCTGTGTCGCGGCACGTTGTTTTTTCTTGCTGACAAATATGATATATCTTCGTTGTTAAATTTATGATTTCCTTGGGGATTCGCATGTTTCATCATTTTTAGGCTGATTGAATTCTCGCAATCTCCTCTTTGTTTTCCATTCACTAGCCTCACAGGGGGTCAAAATGGATGAGCAGATCCTTTTCCATTCAACAACTGGTTGGTGGTTTGGAACATCTTTTATGACCTTCCATATATTGGGAATGTCATCATCCCAACTGACGAAGTCATATTTTTCAGAGGGGTAGGTCAACCACCAACCAGATGGGCTTGCAATGATCACAAAGGGTAAAACAAATCGGCCCCTTGTTGCTGAGATGGTATCCCTTTGAATCTGGGGCCCAGCCCTGTGGAGGTCCACCAAACGCCCCAGCTGGGCATCTATACAGGAATTGAAAGATAGAACCGTCGTTTTACTGATGTTTGTATATCTATAAATACCGCTAAAGCAAAAACATGTTTATACATATAATGGAACCATACATATAAATGAATATGTATTATTAAAAATATGTGGATATTATTCTAGTCAGATATGGAACAATGATAAACAAATTTGGAAAATTATCAGAAAAGGTAGCACCAGGAAGGGCCGCTGAGCTATAAAGATGATATAGTTGTATATACGTATATATATATAATATACACATATGTATATAAAACTTATATATATATACACTTTACTTTGCATATATACTTATATAATCTTATATATATATATGTATGTATGTATGTATGTATGTATGTATGTATGTATGTATGTATGTATGTATGTATGTTATGTATGTATGTATGTTATGTATGTTATGTATGTTATGTATGTTATGTATGTTATGTATGTTATGTATGTTATGTATGTTATGTATGTTATGTATGTGTGTATGTATGTTATGTATGTTATGTATGTTATGTATGTTATGTATGTTATGTGTATGTTATGTATGTTATGTATGTTATGTATGTAATGTATGTAATGTATGTTATGTATGTTATGTATGTTATGTATGTAATGTATGTAATGTATGTAATGTATGTAATGTATGTAATGTACGTAATGTACGTAATGTACGTAATGTACGTAATGTACGTAATGTACGTATGTATGTTATGTATGTTATGTATGTTATGTATGTTATGTATGTTATGTATGTAATGTATGTATGTAATGTAATGTATGTATGTATGTATGTAATGTATGTATGTATGTATGTCTGTATGTATGTTATGTTATGTTATGTTATGTTATGTTATGTATGTATGTATGTATGTAATGTATGTATGTATGTATGTTTGTTATGTTATGTATGTTATGTATGTTATGTATGTTATGTATGTTATGTATGTATGTTATGTATGTTATGTATGTTATGTTATGTATGTTATGTATGTATGTTATGTATGTTATGTATGTTATGTTATGTATGTTATGTATGTATGTATGTTATGTATGTATGTATGTATGCATGTATGTATGTATGTTATGTTATGTTATGTATGTATGTATGTATGTATGTAATGTATGTATGTATGTAATGTAATGTAATGTAATGTAATGTAATGTAATGTAATGTAATGTAATGGTATGTATGTATGTATGTATGTATGTATGTATGTAATGTATGTAATGTATGTATGTAATGTATGTATGTAATGTATGTAATGTAATGTAATGTAATGTAATGTAATGTAATGTAATGTATGTATGTATGTATGTATGTACTTATATATATATACACTTATATATTTGCATCATATAGTCAAATAGCCACTGGCGGAAGTCTGCGCCGGCACATTTGAGGGGAGATGTTGAACCCTCCAAGCGCCGTGCCGTGCCGAAGAATGTGCGGGGCCCAGGGGTATTGGAGATGGTTGACATTTTTTCACTACGTTAATATCAAATATATCTAGTGATAATATGGGAAATGTTAGATTGAATACACAAAAAAATGCAATCACTACTAATTATTGCGTGGATATATATATATATATATATATGTAATAGTAAGTAATTAAGAATGGACATATCACAATGAATATGCCATAGATTGGATATAATTATATGAGTTGATAGAATCAACCAACTGAATATACCCTCTGGTTGTTTAACGTAGCCATTGAAAATCACCATTGTCAATAGGTAACTCATCAGTTTTATCATCAACAAGACAGGCCATGGCTTCCATATCTATGTTAGATAATCAGAGGGTAACATTGTCAAACCCTCATCTATCAAAGCTCAAATGCGCGCGCTATGGCGCGCACATTTAAACCCTAAAAGCATGATTCTCCTTGTCTACATCTCCTTCCTTATACATCCTTGATAATTACAATCTTCTACCATCTTCTCCTAGGATCTCTGTATATCTCTTTGCATCTTCCTACTATCTAGATTCGGGGCCTGAAATTCGGGCCCCGAATCTCGGGCCCCGAAGTCATTCTAGACTTTCCACGTATTGGGTGGCTCCTGTTATGTCTCAAAAGCACACTATCCCACAGAGACTTACGCTACAATCCTCACTACCTCTCCTGGTCTAAATATGATCAAGATGTATCAAGATATGGATCCATGGAAAACATGCCATAGAGAATCATAGAATCATGCATAGAAGAGGCACCAACCTGCACGAAACATGACCAAACACGTATATTTGAGCGTATGGCATGCATGTGAAATGTTACTGTCTCTTTGTCGCCATTCAATGCTTTGCATGAGGCCAACGACATCAACTGCGGACAAGTAATCGGCACATGCGGTACAATCGCACAGCCGAAGAAAACCGTTTGTGAGGAACAGGTTCATTGATCAACATTATTTTTCTCAACTTATTTTGGGTATCCACTCTTGTTAAACTTCCGACATGTCGCGCGTATACACTGCCATGTATATAAAACCCTCACAGTGAAAATCCATCAATACCCCCCCATTTTTTTGATTGTACTTGGCTTCAGCCCAACTTTTGAATCAAACCTTCCATGAGATTAGATCAAGAAAATACCAATGTTGACATTGCTGGAACCCATATCCCGTTAGATCCATGAAATATCCCATGATATACATAGATCCGTAAAATATCCATGGATTACATATCTCCGTGCTGTAATACTGTAGATGAAAGAAATCCTGCACCAGTTGGTATTTGTTGGTAACATAATACAACGCTGAGACTGTAATGTGGTTCTAGCGGGGTTTTGCCCATCTACCAACTGGTGTAGGATTCTTCCATCCAAGTAAGGATTAACCAATGGTTAAAATTGGTTAATGATGATTAATGATGGTTCTTCCATCCGCTGTATCACCATTTTTTTTTGGCTAAAGTCTAACGGTTGGACTGCGGCACTCTGACGTTCCTTGCAGGTGGCCTCGCGCACACTAAGCCAATTGGGGGCGCCTTGCCGGCAGCCAGAAGCGGGCGTGAAATAGGGGGATATGTTTAACTTTGCTATGGGGTCTTTAGCCCAGACTAGCTCCGGTGCGACCCGGTGCAGCTTCAACACAAGGTTCCGGACAAGGTTCCGGAGGGTTCCGGTGCAGATACCTTGTGGGGTTCCGGAGGGTTCCGGTGAAGATACCTGCTGAGGCTCCGGAGGGTTCAGGGTTCCGGTGCAGATACCTTGCGAGGTTCCGGAAGTTTCCGGTGCAGGTACTCGGTGAGGTTCCGGAGGGTTCGGTGCAGATAGTTGGTTAGGTTCTAGAGGGTTTTGGTGCAGGTACCTGGTGAGGTTCCGGAAGTTTCCGGTGCAGCTACCTGATGAGGTTCCGGAGGGTCTAGCTGAAGATGTGTGGTGAGGTTCCGCAAAAATTCCAGGGCAGATACCCTGTGAGGTTCCGGAAGGTTCCGGTGCAGAGACCTTGTGAGGTTCCGGAGGGAGAAGATGCTTCGTGAGGTTCTGGAGGGTTCCGGTGCAGATACCTTGTGAGGTTCCGGAGGGTTGTGGTGCAGATGCCGTGTGAAATTCCAAAGGGGTCCGATGTTTTTTATGGCCTAAACACTTAATTTTATGGCATAAGCGCTTAAATTTTATGGCATAAACGCTTTTTATGGCAAAAACGCAGAAGCTTTCAAACTGTTGGGGATGGCAGCTGAGTTTGTCTTAATTATTTTTTTAATCACATTTGTAGTGCATAAATGCGATTGTTAATGCTATTGATGTTTTGGTTCATCACAGTACTACTCAAAGTTCTCGATGTTTGCTGATGTTTGTACTATAAATGGGCTGTTCACGCTGGATTTTAAGGTGATAATTTATCAAATTCGCATATTTAAAGGATGTACCGTGGGATTGAACCAATAATCATGGTAGTATATAGAGCGGATATCATGAAGATAATCTGGATAAACTGGCTATGTTTGGAGACAAAAGATGGGATACATGGGGGCATGATGGGAGATATAATGGGGAGATAATTGGGTTTTATGGTATAAATTATAGTGACCTCACGTCGGCGACGTCAAAGTAAATAATGGTTCGAACCGGGAAAATCATCCCCAAATCATTTTTTTCAGGTTGGCGAATTTTGATGAAATGTATCCAGAATGATTGGATACAATCATGTGAATACAATAACATATCCTAATGATCGGATACAATATGATACAATGAAAGTGGATATTATCATTTTTATTGGATACAATAATATGGTTAACTTTGATTTAAAGGAAATATGATATATGATCGGCTATGTCTGCTGCGATATCTATCTAATATATACATACACATGTGATCAGAATCAGCATGAATCAAGGATATTCAACAGAATTGGAAGGGCAGCTTTGCTGAAAATAGGATACCAATTCCTCTGGTTGATCATAGTTCCCATCATTTCCCACCTGAATTCCATTTTTCTGAGGGAATTAACCCATGGTGACCAAAGAATTTTGAAATTCCCAGACCAATCCACAAGAAGTGTGGGAAACTGTGAGCACTCTGAGCACCTATATCACAATTTATTGATGTCCATTGAGTTTGTCTTTCATTGTGCTGTACTGTCCTATTCCATAGTTTGAATGTTGTTTATATGCTATCTTGAAAATTCATGATAGGGTCAGAATCCCTCTCAACCAATCAGCAACACCTGTCCACAAGAAGTTTCGGAAATTGCCCACATGTGTTCTGGGTTTCAGCAACAGGACGGACTATGGAGGTTTCCTAAAATGGAGGTACCCCCAAATCATTCATTTTAATAGGATTTTCCATTATAAACCATAAATTTGGGGTACCCCCATGTATGGAAACCCCTATATGTCTGGAACCCTGGACCACAGGGCGGAACGCTGCCAGTGAGGTCCTGGCAGAACCTCGAAAGTCCAAAGTGATGCTGAAGGAAGCTCCCAAAGGCGTCAAGGCGAGGGCCGGCTTGCGTCGGCCGGTGAGCTTGGACGGCTAAGAGGTAGCACTATGATCATGGTCCATTGTCAATCAAAGGTACCTTGTGGATCCATGTGGTCATGTTTTTTCCCACATCTTTGTGTGGGGTTCTTGTTTTTGGTTGTGCACTTCCGCCTGCCCGCTCCATGACACCCGCCGCCCTCACACACAACTTCACCACACAACTTGTCCACACACAACTTGTCACCACACACAACTTGTCACCACACAACTTGTCCACACACAACTTGCTCACACACAACTTATCCACACACAACTTGCTCACACAACTTGTTCACACACAACTTGTCCACGCACAACTTGCTCACACACAACTTGTCCACACACAACTTGTCCACACACACACACAACTTCACCACACAACTTGTCCAGGCAACTTGTCCACACACAACTTGTCCACACACAACTTGTCACCACACAACTTGTTCACACACAACTTGCTCACACAACTTGTTCACACACAACTTGTCCACGCACAACTTGCTCACACACAACTTGTCCACACACAACTTGTCCACACACACAACTTCACCACACAACTTGTCCAGGCAACTTGTCCACACACAACTTGTCCACACACAACTTGTCACCACACAACTTGTCCACACACAACTTGTCCACACACAACTTGCTCACCGCACAACTTGTCCACACACAACTTGTCCACACATAACTTGCTCACACACAACTTGTCCACACACAACTTGCTCACACACAACTTGTCCACACACAACTTGCTCACACACAACTTCTCCACAAACAACTTGTCCACACACAACTTGTCCACACATAACTTGCTCACACACAACTTGACCACACACAACTTGTTCACACACAACTTCTCCACACACAACTTGCTCACACACACAACTTGTCCACACACAACTTGTCCACACATAACTTGCTCACATACAACTTGACCACACACAACTTGTTCACACACAACTTCTCCACACACAACTTGCTCACACACAACTTGTCCACACACAACTTGTCCACACACAACTTCTCCACACACAACTTGCTCACACACAACTTGTCCACACATAACTTGCTCACACACAACTTGACCACATGCAACTTGTTCACACACAACTTCTCCACACACAACTTGCTCACACACAACTTGTCCACACACAACTTGTCCACACATAACTTGCTCACACACAACTTGACCACACACAACTTGTTCACACACAACTTCTCCACACACAACTTGCTCACACACAACTTCTCCACACACAACTTGCTCACACACAACTTGTCCACACACAACTTGTCCACACATAACTTGCTCACACACAACTTGACCACACACAACTTGTTCACACACAACTTCTCCACACACAACTTGCTCACACACAACTTGTCCGCAGGCGTGGCACTTATGGCACTGGACTGGCTCTGGTGGCGCGCTTGGGTCTCCGTTTGACGCCGCGGTCGCCGCGGCGGTTGGCGTGGCAGGCGTGGCAGGCGTGGCACTTGGTGACATCGACCTTCACTTTGCGTGGCAGGCGTGGCACTTATGGCACTGGACCGATTTCATCGCGCATGTGCTGTCGTTGCTCATTTCGATCCAGACAGGGACATGTTGCGAACATCCACGAAATCTTGACGATATTCTTTGCGTTTCTGCTTGTTTCCTTTGATCTTTCATGTGGCCAGGTACCTTTCCGTAACACGCCGCCGCCTCCACTCGTGGAAAAAACATCCCGCATGCGTGCAGCCAGCACGTTCGTTGTCCCACCTTTCAATACATACATTACATTACATTACACTACACTACATTACATTACATTACATTACATTATATTACATTACATTACATTACATACACACACACATCCATCCATCCATCCATCCATCCATCCATCCATCCATCCATCCATCCATCCATCCATACATACATACATACATACATACATACATACATACCATCTTTGACACACCATCTTTCACATACAACTTTGTCACACACAACTTTTTTAACTTCTCGATCCTTCACCACCTCTTTTGTCTTTCCTTCCTTCCCCGTCCCCGCTACAACATTTGGTGCTCATTATTGGAAGAAGTTGACATGTGGGGTTATCCGGTCCTTTAATTTGATTTGCTTCTATACTCTGTGGCTAAGAATTTCCAAGAACTAGCAAAATCTGCGACGCCCATGGAAGTTTAGAGAATCCAACAGGGCGGCGTGCCTGATGGCCCAAGGGTCTTTGTGATGTCAACCATTGACAGTCTGACAGTCATGTACATGCATACGGGACCTGCACCATTGAGCCCTGAATTTGGAAGTTTGTATAAATTTGATTAAATTTGTTCAAAGTTGGCCAGTGCCTTAAAGATTGTTTGATGTCCCAACAAGCCTCCAATGTTGAAGTCTAAGTGGATCAATCCTGTTCGAGGAAGTCGAGGTGAACTAGTGGAAATCAATCTTTAATGGTAGGATCTTGTGGACACTGTTGGTGTCTTGGGTTTCGACCATCCTGCAGGCAACGACTTTGTTCGCCTGCAGTCTCCAAATTCTGCCGGTTTTTTGCTTTGGGCAGCCTTATGTTTAAAATTCCATAATGCATTGATATCCAGTGTATGTGTATCCATTGTGACATTTTGGTTCCATTTTGAACACGATTGCTCCAGTGATATTTATATATACATATATATGATATATGTACTGTATGCATATCGGTTTCCGTAGAATATATATATATCTATACATGAATAGAGTGCAAAAAACATTGTGCCATTTACCAACAAACAATTCTCTAACACTCACCGCCAGGATGAGGAGGAAGATGAGGACGGTGCTCCAGCTGGTTTCTGTTCCCAGAGATTATGTTGCAAAATAGTGACGCCTTTTTTGGTATGGAACTACTGTATGTATTATCTATGTATTTGATATGTATTGTATATCTATCTTCTATGTCATAGTATATATTAGATAGGTATTTTATATGTATTATATGCTTTGTATAGTACGTACACATACATATATATATATATACATGATTAGATATGCCATGTGAGTAATATATCATTTCACCACCAACCGGGTGAATCTCTAATAGCCAACTCAAATGCGCCGCGCCTGCGGAGCAGTCGCCGCATCCCCTGTTTCGTTGCGATGGTGTGTTCCCAACGAAAAGGGATCACGGCTGATTCATGTTGGAAAAAATCTTAAAATCTTTGATGTTGGATGATATCATGATACATCCATCTGTTGGATTTTCTTAGGAGACTACCATTGCTAACCATTACCAACCATGACTACCTACTACCCATTGCTAACCATGACGAACATTAAACGGATTTTAATGGGAGATACATCCATGGGATATAATTCTAATTACCCTCCTGTATACAAAAAGATGTGGAAAAGCCCTCATGAACTATGGATCATCCTGTCAGTTGTCCCTCAGAGATTGTGAGTCCCCAAGGAAAGGGCCAAAGCATTGTTACGTTTTTACCCTCTGGCAAACTAAAAATCACAATTTTTAGTGGATAAATCAACTATTTCTATGGCCATGTTCAATAGCTATGTAACAAATTACCAGAGGGTAATGCAAGTAATGCTAGAAGAGCCTGAAATTTGGTCGCCCCGAAAGCTTGCCAGAACATCTATGGGCTTATGACAATGACTAGGCGACTAGGCGGAACTAGCTCCACATCCCAACAAAGCACTTCAGCATATCCCAATTCTATACCATTTTATAGCCCCATTATATATCTCCCCTTCGTATCCCCATTTCAATGGTGAATAGTGGTAAATCCTACGGATTCAACGGAGATATATATATATATATTTATAGTATAATATATACATATAGTATAATATATATATATAGTATATATATATATACTAAATTATATGTAGTATCATACATATAGTGTAATATATAGTAATATATATATATTACAATATATATATATATATATATTACAATATATATATATATATTACAATATATATATATATTACAATATATATATATTACAATATATATATATATATTACAATATATATATATTACAATATATATATATATAAATAGTATAATATATATATATAGTACAATACATATATAGTACAATACATATATATATATATATATATTTATAGTATCATATATATATAGCATCATCTATATAGAATGATATATATATATATAGCATAATATATTTAGTAGTATATATATATACATATGGATATCTCATATTACAATGGCCTTTTGAATCAGCTCTGGTATATTGGGATATATTGGTATATTATATCATTACATATCAATATGGGGGTTTCCTACAATGGAGGTACCCCTATTATTGGACGGTTTAGTTCATGGAATACTCCATTAAAACGGATGATTTAGGGGTACCCCCTTTTCAGGAAACCTCCATATAATCAAAAGTGATATCATTATATTATATTATATATATATACATACATATCATTAATGAATATCCCATTGTGCTCCTGATTTTCTAAGCTACAGGAGCTGGAGGAGGAGGAGGCAGAAATGGGGAGATCGGCAGGGAATCTCATGGCAATGGACTAGGAATATGTCGAACCATAAGAATACCTAGAGAGAATATGTAGTTACCGGTACTACTTGGGCTAGTGATCCAACTTTGACTTTGACCGCGTGAGACTGTGCTGCCAACGATGAATTCTCATCGTAGTGATCCCCAGTTCCGTCATTTGTGCCATGAGAAATTGCCCATGTTCGGGATGGTCATCAATCTATCAATAGGATTCAATAGGGACTTATGTTATCGTAAGGATTCTCATTCTGGGATGAGTGATCATATTCCATTGATCCCATGTGTTGACATGTTTTGACCATGGCACATATCCAAATGTGGAATCCTATAGCCATTGGTAGATCCAGGCCCAAGCAAGTGAAGACAAAGATGAGGCGGGATTGGAACCTGACGATCTGATATGGAAGTATGGATGCG